CGTCTTGTAACATCTTTGCCTTGGCATAATAAACCCTTTCTTATCTCACCCCTAATTAACTGCTCCGGGAGATTTTTTCAGCACCTAACTCCCACAGCAACAGGAAGAAGGGACAGATGACTCAGGAAGAGTACAAGGGTGTCAATAGGTAATGTAGAGAGAAAATTAGAAAGGCGAAAGCTCAGCTAGAACTCAATCTGGCCACTGCTGTGAAAGGTAATAAAAAGTGTTTTTATAAATATACTAACAACAAGAGAAGGCCAAGGAGAATCCCCATCCTTTATTGCATGCTGGGGGAAACAGTGACAAAGGCTGAGGAAAAGCCCAAGGTACTTAATGCCTTCTTTGTCTCAGTCTTTAACAGAAAGATTGGTGATCCTCAGGGTAACTGGCCCTGTGAGGTGACAGAGGTGGAAGTGTTGTTCTGCTGGAGACTTTACTGAGGGATCTGGACAGGCTGGATTGATGGGCTGATGCCAACTGTATGAGGTTCAACAAGGCAAAGTGCTGGGTCCTGCACTTGTGTCACAACAACCCCATGCAGTGCTTGGGGCAGAGTGGCTGGAAAGCTGCCTGGTGGAAAAGGACCTGGTTGACAGCTGACTGAACATGAGCCAGCAGTGTGCACAGGTGGCCAAGAAGGCCAATGGCATCCTGACCTGTATCAGGAATATGTGACCAGCAGGACCAGGGCAGTGATTTTCTCTCTATATTAGGCACTGTTGAGCCCACACCTCGAATCCCATGTTCAATTTTGGGCCCCTTGCTGAAAGAAGGAGATTGAAGTGCTGGTGTCCAGAGAAGGGCAATGGACTTTCAAGAAGAAAAGTCTTTTCTAGTGCTGCATGCAGTGTTCTGAGAAAAAACATACCCATCTTGTGACATGAAGGTGATGGTCATCCATAGCAGTCGGTCGTTGACACAGCTGCCACCAAGCTCCTCGACTTAGGGCCATCATCAGTGTCTTGAAGGCCTAGAATAGCATCACATGCATCCTGCACACCCCATGTGATTCCCAGGGCAGGGCTGCTAGGTCTCAACACAGAGTCCACAGTGGGCACAACACTGACCTGAGCTGTCAGTCCTTCCCCTCTGGCAGCCTTGGGTTTGGCCACAGTGAGCCGGCACCATCCCAGGACTACACACTTCAAGGCATCTAGCAGGAACAGCTCTGTGGTTGGTTGTGTTGCTCTGGTGAGGTACTGATGGAATTTGGCCTGAAAAGATGCTTATTTCTCCCAACAGGACCACTCGCACCCCTTTCTTTCAGAGGAGAAAGTTGAAAGCCAAGAGCCCTGGTTTTGCTGCTGATAGGGAATGAATGGTCCCTTTCATGCCTCAGGACCTCAGCTCAGTGCTCTACCTCATTCCTACTGAGTGAACTAGAACCCAACCCTTGCTTTCCCTTGGGCTTCTTGGTTGATTGTTTTTAATTACTGTTTTGTACATGGTGATTATTTTAAATTGGGAGGAGGGAACTTTTTTCTACTCTACTGGTCTCTTGGCAGAGCACCCAAGTGAGGGATTTGCACCATGTAGTTTCTCCATGGTATGTCCTTCCAGATCAAAGGGTTGGTCTGTCTGTCACCATCAGCTGGCTCTGCCTTGACCACCACAGATTATTGAAGAGAAATGCCATATATAAGCTCTTAGTTGTTCTCCCAGGTCTGTCTCCCATCTGCCAGACTCCCAAGTGCTCAGTGAAGCTGTCCTCTTTCTTCAGCTAATGCTGCATTTCTCTGAAGCTGTAATTTCTTAAAAACTGGTACAGAGAACAGATCCAGAGGAAGGTGGATTTAAAAATATTTAGAATCACACCAGTTCAACATGTGACTACATGATTTCTCAATCATGTAGTGCCTTTACATGGCACTTGTAAAGGGGCATTGCTGGCAATAAACCCACTTATGTTGTCCAGTAATGTTCAAACTGCACTTGCTTGTACACCAGCATGATCATGTGCAGGCAATTTTCCTATCTCTCAGTTATCTTGTGCTTCCACTTGTTGGCTCTTCAGATGCAAAATAACTTTGCTCATTATAATGTTAATTTAAATAATCATTTTATGTAGAGGTTACCACCTACATACATATATATAGTTCATTATGTTTGCATATGTATAACTTGTGCTGTAGGTACTTTTTACGGATCCCTTTGAACTGGTGGAGGGACTTGCAGGTCTCTACAGACCAAAGATTGGAACTCACCACTATTTTCAAGCAACGTACTGAGCCTGAATTTTTGCTGTGGCCACGCCCTGAATTCTTATCACCGCAGCACTGAAGATTTTATGATAACAGGAATGGAAAGGGTTTTTGGCCTTCTGGCACCTACTCCAAGACTGAGTTTGCCTTTGAGCATGAATGGTTGTCCTAAATTTAGAGGCTATTTACTTGTGTTGTAAATGTTCAGAGCAATGACAGGGCAGCAGGGCTGTAGCATACTTGATGTGGCATTTGTGTGGCGCAGAGGAGTCCAATCTCTTGAGACTCATCCACTAGACCCAATTGCCTTTTTGAGAACTTAGAGAGGAGACAGGTTGAGATGGGAAGAGTGCAAACATCTCCCATGGGCTTCCTTTGCCTCCCCCTGAGTGTTGCCAGGGGTTCTTTGAGGATTTTTAGACCTCTTGTCTCTCTCTTGCACTGCCTTCAGAGAGTGTTTTAATGACTCCATGTGTTCTTAGTAAGATGACTGCAAGCTTGTTTGTCCTGCTGAAACCTTCCCTCTGGTTCCTTCAACTTGGCAGCTCCAATGTCTTGGATAGCAAGACTTCTCACGTGAACCCTGGGTGAGTCACCTAACAGCTGTCCTTACTCATCACATCTTGCAGTTCAGTCCTTGCATCCAGGACTGAAGGTCAGTGCAGCCACTAAAATAACAGGTCCCAGATACACACCGGGGCCTTTTGGTGTGCTGCAGTACTGATACCAAGCTCAGCTTCAAGATGAGGTCAGCTTTCCATCTCTCCATCCAGGGCAGTTTCCCAAGACACACAAAGTCAAAGGGTATACCTGGTGTTTGTTCCAGATCAGCACAGGCCTGCTTCTCAAGTCTTTCTGTCTTGGCAGATGGCTTCACATTGAGCAGTTGCCCTTTGCAAACTTTTCTGCCCAGCCAAAGTGGGATGTGACCTGGTAACTGGAGTGTGAGCTGGTGCTAGCACCTATGAAACTAGTGTCTGTTTCCTGAGCTGTCCTGGAGTAGATCTGAGGGGTAGGAAACTTGTTTAGGAGAGAGATCATGCTGGTGCAAGAAGAGGCCTCCATGGTACTCCCCTTGTTAAGTAATAGGGCAAATGGCTTCTGCTCTAATCTAAGCAAGTTGCTGTTTTTTGGCCTGGAGAAGCTCTCCAGATCAGGAAGGTACTTCTCTTGCTGCCCACAGTGCTTTTTGGAGGCCTTTCTCCAAGTCTTTGCTCTCACAGAGGCAACAGCATTTGCTTGTTGTCTTGACTTACTGTAAAACATTTCTCGGCAAAGCAGGCAAAGTTGCATGATGCTCTACTGGGAGTGGGGGACCAGCCAATTCTTCCAGCAGTATGGAGAGCCCAAAGGAAAAGGGAGTGGGAAAACTGGGTGTGTTTCTTCTGCTCCTACTGCCTGGAGGCAGGAGCATCCTCACCTACTTCCCTGCTCTTTTGTCCTCTTGCTTTCCAGTAATACCTGCCACTCCACTCACTTCAATCCTTGCTTTGGAGTCAGCAGCTATGTTGGCTTTTCCCAGTGTGGCTGAGCCCAGGCAGACAGAGGGACAGTTGCTAGAAGCAACTGAGTGTCTGCCTGATGTTTTTGGTAACTCTTTTGCTTTGCATTGAGGTGATCCTGGTGACTGATGGCAGCAGGTAAATCTGGAGAGAGAGAGAGAGCTGCCTCTGGCACACAATGGGACTTTTGTCCCTGAGATAGGAGGGTTGGTTCTGCCAGCTCAAAAGAAGCTCTTGAGTGCTGAGCCCTCTCTCTCTTTGGAGAGTGAGGAAGGTGGCTGCATTTTCAAAGCCAGTTTTGTCTTCTTGACTGCTGTTGTGTGGATCTCTTGCAGTATCAGAATACAGGACATTGCCGTAGTCTGAGGGGCTTGCAGGATTGTCCCCTGTGACATTCTAGCATGGTCCTGTTGTGACTCCTCTCCTTGCAACTTTATGGGTGACTACATTGGTTTGCATGGGTAAAGGATGTGGTGGGTAAATATGTATGCTAAGACGCTGGACTGTTTTGTTTTTTATCTAAGCCAGAATGTAGTCATAGGCACAGGGTGTTTCTCAGGCTACCAACTGTGTTTGGAAATCCTGTCTGAAGGTGAAGAGCAAGTCAGTGATGGAGCTGGGATGAGAGAGAGCTCAGGAACCTTTACTGCTGATGAGTTTTGTTCCTCTTTTTCCCCTCTGTGGGCATCCAGGTAAATCTGTACTGCCACCACCTGTGTTTGCAAAGCCAAACATCTCTATAACATGCCCTCAGCCAGGGAACTTGTCTGTTTCTTTGTGGCACAGTGGGAGATGGTTTGAGGTATTCTCTCATCACAAGATCTCACAGCATGAAGAAGGTAAGACTCCCCAGACTGAGCCCAGCGTGCAGGGAGAGTGGAGGCTGGATATGGGGGCAGAGTTTGCCTGTGGTTTTGCAAGGGTGCCAGCCTGACTGTTTTCATGGCGATAGGAGGGGGTGGAGGGGGGACACTCATCCCGAACAACTGGAGGGAAGCCACACAAGACAGGTTGTGGAGGATGGAAGGGACTGTGGGAGCTGAGGGTTCTTATGGGGGGCTGTCAGGAAGGAGTTTCCTCCATGCTGGGGCTTGGCATCCCCGTGTCTTGCAAACTGCGTGGGCACTGTGGCACTGAGCCTGTTCCCATGGAAGGGAGAGGTGTGAACAGCCAATGGTGCAGGCGGCTGGCATGGCACCTCCCCGTGGGGACTTTGGCCTTTCATCATCTGAGGCAAGGGGGGAAACTCCACTGGCTGGGCTTGGTGCTTTCAAAGCTCGGGGTGGTATGGGGACAGTTGAGCGCTGACCACGAGGCAGGTGAGTTTGCGTCTGCAGCCCCAGGGCTTGTGTCTGGTGGCAGAATGGTACAAAGAGGCTGCACTGTGCCCTTGCACAGCTGGAGAGGGGACGGGCTGTGAGGGTGGGGAGCATCCACCAGCGTGTTCGTGTTCGAGAGCTGCTTTGTTTTCTTGAGGACTAATGCCTTGCCTGATCCTGCAAGGAAATTTATGCCTGCTTTCAAGTGCCTAAAGGCAAGTGAACTGCAGAGAACCAATTCCCTCCACCCTCTCTATCCCAAAATGTTCTGAGCAGCATAGAGCCAAGTTGACAGCTTCTCCCCAGGTGAGATTTCCTGGTACTGACTCCGTGCGCTCTGTTCCTGTCACACATCTAGAAAGCAGCTTCTCTCAGGAAATATTTGCAGTTTCATTTTGCACTCTTTAAACCTTAATCATTGCGATGGCCACTTTGCTTCAGTCATTAGCAAAATTGGGCAGTGTCCACACCTTTGCTCTGAGAAGGAAAGTGTTGTGCTGATTCCAGAGAGTTTCTCCTCTCCCAGTGGGTATTTGTTGCTGATTGCTTCCTCCACCTTCTCTGACTATGAGCAGTTGCGTGGCTCTGTCCTCTTGACACAGTGGATGCTGGCATGGCTTTGCTCCCTCCTCTCACCCTCTGAGCCCTGTTTCTTGACATCAGCTTCTCTCACTGGTCCCTGAGTTTTCCTGCTCTCCAGACAAATCAAAGTATGTGGAAGGGAGTCCTGGCTTCCCCTTTTGCTATTTATTCTCAAGTCAAGGTTGTAGTTTGGACATTTGCTTTCAGTGGCAGCTCCCAGTGTGTGCTGGCCTCCAGTTCTATCTCATTCTTGCCTGACTGCTCTGCACAAATGTTTGTGCTGGCATGAAATCAGGGATGGGAACACGTTTAAGTGTAGGGAGAAGACTGGTTTGCTTTCTTCAGCCACAGCACCCGCTGACGTTTGCTAAAGGTGTTCTGTCAAGATGTCAGCCTGTGTGTGCTCAGACAAATCGGCATGTCCAGCATTCTGCACCTGAGAGGATGTGCTCACCTGCAGTGGAGCTGCTGGGGAGCAGAGAGCCTGGAAATGGGAAGGCTGGCAGAGGGCAGAAGCAAAGAGCTGGCTTCTGGGAGGGGTGCAGGGTGCTGCTGGCAGGACTGGGGTAGCTGGTGGACTGGGAGTCTGCAGCTATCTTGGAGGATGCCAACAGTGGCTCTGGCAGCCTGTCAGGGGAAGAGTAGGAGAAGGAAAGTGCTGTACCCAGGTCAGACTGGGCAGAACAGTGGCATCTGGGGGTAGAGGTGGCAACCCACATCCACAGGGCAGTGTGGTGGCACTAAATGCAGTGCGCATGGTCAAAGAGGTTTGGGTAAGCTTACCCTGTTCCTTCTCCTGTGATGTCTTGGCTTGAGGAGATGTTGGGTGCCTGTATCTCCAGTCCAAGCTTGCTAGTGTGACACATGGTATGAGACAAGATGAGGTCTGTGTGTTCCCCTCCATGCCCCACACTGGGCTGTGATTCTCTGGTAAGCACTTTTCCCTCACATGATAAGGTGAGAACCAAAGGTTCAGAGTTAAACCCCATGTCCCAGGCTGGTCAGGAGAGCAGATGCAAAGGTTGGCCTGAAGAAACCCTTACTGTGTGGGTAGCGTATGTGGTGTTTGGCAAGGCAGGGGCAAAAACCAGCACTGCTTTGCCAGTGGCTTAGACTGTGTGGACCAGATACATCCAGAGTTTACCAGGGTTGCCTTGTGGTATCCCACTCTGGCTGCTCTGTCACTGTCTGCAGCTGGCTTTTGGGAGGTGAGAAAAGGGAGAGGCAGGGTTGAGGAGCCTCCTGGGCTATTTACGTATCAGTGTGAGCTTTGGGCTGTTTGCACTGCTTCTCTGCCTAGCACAGAGATGATTCCCTCTGCTGCGGTGTGTGTGTGGCTCTGAAACTAATTTGCTCGATCATTTTAATAAATGTAAAAGGGATGTCCTGGTGTGCAAGTAATGGGGCACTAATCCATGCCTAGCTGTGTTAACAGCACTCTAGGAAGGAAATACACCCATGCAGTTCTCACTGTTAATTATGGGATGTTTAACTTAGGATCCCCCTTCTGTGATGGCTGCTCAGCCTTTCTGGCTTTTAGGTGAGTCTCTGGTGGCTCTCGTTTGCCCTGCCCACCCCTACCATTTTCCTCGCAGCTCCTCAGCTCCTTGTGCCATGCAGATTCCCAGTTCCAACTGTGAGTGCCATTGTCCACCTGGCCATGAAGTTTAACCATACAAAGCCTTTCTGAGGCATCAGCACCTTTTTGGTGTTGCTGGCTTGTCTGCTGCCCCAGTGCAGGTGCTGGTGGGAGATTTCCTAGGAAGATGCAAGCCTTGCTCCCTAACACTGCTCCTATAGGAAACCTTGGAGCTACATCCTTGCTTGGCTGCAGATGCTTGCCTGCTTTTATTTGCAGCTTTTGGCTTCTTAGAGCGCTGTGTTTCTGGGGAGATATACTTGGGTTGTTATTTAATCTCTTTTCTTTCTAGGTTAAATGTATAAAGTTGTTCTGAATTTGTTTTTTAAATGTCCTATAAAATTACTGGCATTCTCTTCCCAATCTGGTTTTCCACGTTTTAGACTGCAGGACCATAGCAGCTATTTTCCTGCCCTGGAAGCGACTGGGGTCTGGCTCTCTACAGAAACTCCCTGGACAAGGTGCTGGGGGCTTCATCATTCACTATCTTTTAAAGGACTTAGGGAGTTCTGTAGATTACAGCAAAGTGCTCAGATAAAGGTTTGCGGTGACTTTGGGTTTGTTTTGCAAATGGTCATTCGTTGGAGCTCTGTTTAAACAAACAGAGTTCAAATAAGCTTTCCACTTCAGTGCATTAAAATCCCTTAATTCATTAAAATCCCCTCTCCACAGACATAAAGGCCTCTGCTGTGCCAGGTGCTGTTTAAACAATTATCAAGTGCTGGTGTCTGCTGTAAAATGATCACATTGTTCACTTCCAGTTGGTCATCCACGAGTTGAGTGGCTTTTGTTAGGGGAGATGATACTAGTCCTGGTATTTGCTGGCTGTACAGCCAGCACCAAGGAAACTTGTAACTTTGCCCAGTTTTAAACCCAGGAAGGTTGTTTTTACCCTGTCTTGCTGTGCAGCTGCAGCAGGAGTGTCTGTTCCCTGGTGGGAAGCAGGAGCAGTTTTCCAGCTGGATCAGACAGCTGGGGAGGGCTCTGTAGTTCCTAGGCAGGTAGACAGCTGAAGCCAAAAGTCAAGAGAGAAAAGGGAAGAGAGAGCTAAACTCAGCTCTCCCAAGTCCCTCTTGGTTCAGAGGGACTCCATCGCCCTACTTGTGTCGTCAGGTAAGAAACAGCCCTGTGATACATTTGTGTGTCCATATTGGTCTCTCACTCTTTTGGCTACCTGGCAGTGGTGAATATTGTCAGCCTTGCTGTCTTTTCTTAGTGATGCCCTTTGTGATGGGTGCCTGGCCTCCTGAATGCCTCTCTACAGGAAAGGGTGCAGCAGGGGCAACAAGGGGGAGATATTCCCAGTTTGGTGCAGGCTATCAGTACCAGTCGGTACCTATATTTTGTCAGAGCTGCCTCAATAAACACAAATATCCTATTGAGGGTGTAGACATTACCATGTGTCATGAGTTTTTGTGGCTCAGGGCTTGTTTATGCCAGGGTTACAGGCTTTCAACAACTGATCTGCCTATATTTTTTATATTTTGATCTTATTCTGGTTAAACTGATAGAAAATTAGATTAACCTAAACCAAACTGCTCTCGTGGACGTGCATATGAAAGCACATGAAAGATGTGATTTTCACTCGGAAAGCACAGACTTAGCTGATCTGTAGATTTTTAAGGTCTGTGTCCATAGATAAGTTGAGATCAGGTAAATTCTCTGAAGAGGGGTCACAGAAGATTTGACACTGTAGTGCAGAGGGTGAGGTTTGTGTGCAGTGTTTTGAAGAGGAGCCCATTTCCTTAGTGAGCTCCATATGCTGGTCTCTCACAGCTTTAACTGAACGTGGGACTCCAGAAAAGGCAGTTTCAGTCTCATGTTGTCCAAGAGTGAGACTGTACAAATGGTTTCATACTGTCCTATCCTTGGCATTTGATGTAATGGGGAGGGGGAGCAGGTCAGTGCTGAACTCCTTCCCGTACTTGTTTGCACAATCACTAGCTCTTTACACTTTCAGAGGCCTCTTATTCTCAGGAATGCTCTGGGACTCAAGTTGTATCTTCAGAGCAGAAGCGTCAGCCCGTGTCACCTTGTTGGATGTAAGATTCTGCGTGGCTTAGGAAGTTTGCAGTAAAGGGGCAAATTTCATTCCAGAGGCAATGGGCAAAGGTATGTCCTCTGCTTCTGGCTCACCATTGAGGTGGCAGGTAGAAGGTAAGAGGGAAGAAATTGGCTGAGTGCTGCTGATATACCCGCTGAAAGCATAGGGCATCTGATTCCTAGGTTGGAGGTGAGGAGGCAAGGATGTCTCCACAAAGCTGAAAGCTGTGGCTGCTTCTGAAATTTTCTCCGGTGCCCAGATTTCTTTGTGTGGCAACTTCTACCAGCTCTCATTAAACAGGAGCAGTTAGGAGTCTTAGAGAAAGCTGGTTCCTGCAGTCATGAAGCTTCAGTGCTGTGCCAAGACAGCTGAGCTGAAAGGAGTGGGCCAAAGGGCAAAGTCACATCAATAGCTTGAGGGACAGACACTCTTAAAAGACAATGTGGGCACAAGACTGAACATGGGCTCTCTGTTTGGGCTCGGAAATAGAGGGAGGATAGTAACCTCTGAAAGTGCAGCTTTTTGAAGACTGTCCATTAGAAACAGCGCATGTGTGTTGGAGAGAAGTGCTGAACAAGTCTTGTAATGACATGTGATTGTTTTGGGGTAGCAGGGTGGACCTGCAGTGGGTTGGGGATCCACATGGTATGGAGCGAAACGCTCCTTAGAGTTTGAGAGAAGTGACAGACACTGCTGTCCTGGATGCTGGGCAGAGCTTGAGCCCTGCCTGGCTGCTGCCCTTCCTCACATGCTGCTAGAGCCTGATGATTCTGGCAACTCTTCCCTCCATATGTCCCTGTATATTTATATACACACACATTTGTAAGGCTTCCTCTGGAGCTCAGTCTCCTCTCTGAGGAGATCAGGTGCTCCCTTAAGTCACTTGTTCTTCAGCTGGCCTAACCCTACAGCCTGCCCAATAACACCTGAGCTTCAGGAAGAGTGTGTCTCAACTTTGTGTCCTTGGTGTCTTTCTGTCCTTTCCCAGGAAGAAATTGAAGTGAAAAAGACGTGACTGAAAAAGAACAATTTGAAGGAACGGATTCATTTCTTAACAAGAACAAGTTTGAATTAAATGGCTGATAAACAGATCAGGTAACTTTTAAAAAATTTTTTGAGTTGTTGCTTGTCTTTCAAACTTATTTCTGTTTTTGACACAGGAGGTTGGAGGTAATCACCTGATCATCTCTTCCAGCTTTAAACAGTTCTGATTTCTTCTCTGCTCCTTTCTGTATCTGTTTTTTTTCAACCTTCTCTTATTTTCTGTCTCTGCCATGATGTCACATCTCTGCTTTCTTCAGTTCTTTTTTCTCATTGCCTTGTTCTTTCTGCGCTCTGCTTCATATTCTGCACAAGTGTGTTCCTTTTTGCTTCCTCTTTCGAAGGTCACCTTGACCTGCTGACTTCAGCTGCTGGCATCAAAGGAGCAAAGCCAGCTCCTTGACCAGCCAAGGATGCAGCGCTTGTAATTACAAAGTCCACGTAGCCTTGTGCAGCCTTGTGCCCCTTTAAAGCCAGTCAGTGCTTTGAGTGATTGCAGGAACATGAAGAACCAACAATGATTAGCGACACTTAAGTGCGCAGCGGGAACTTTAGAGCTTTAGTCCTGGCATATGCAAAGGCTTAATTTGAGTCCTTCCTGGAAATGAAATGGGATGCGTTTTTGGGAAAGACAGTTTTGCCCTCTAGCTTCCTAAGAGCTGTGTCAGATAGATCTGCACAATCTTGCATGTAGTTTTAACTTTCTGTTGCTTATGAAGTTGCCTGGATAAGTGACTCCTACATGCTGTGGGATTCCTGTGGGGTTTTTTGTGATGCTTTTCTAGCATCTGCTTTTCCAGGTTACCAGCTCAGGGCAGGTGGAGTCAGTGGGTGAATGAAACCGGGTGACAGAGGGCCAGGACTTGGCAGTGCCTGAATGCTGCAGGCAAGAGGGCTGGCCCTTCTTAGTGCTTACCGTGGTGAGGATATCTTCCTATATGCCTGTCTTCTGCAAATGTGAACAGTCCTGAGCTGTGCTGATAATAAGACAGCATTGTGAAGTGTTCATGTGCCTAGATATGTCTGTCATTGGCTACTGCATTTGGAGTGCACTTGGTACTGTTCTTGCACACCATGAAGGGCACGCTGAGATTCACCTCCATGGAGCCTGACAGGTGTGTGTTCCTGATAGCCTCAGCAGAGCAAAAGGACCAGATGTTTGTGGCCATTTGAAGCTTGGTATTTTAAATGAAGAGGAGACACGTCCTATTGGATGTTTCTTGGCCCCTCCAATGTGCTCTTGGCAGTGTGAACAGCAGCTTGTTAACTACTGGGACTAGTTAAAAGGGCTGAGGAGGAGCACTAGGAGAGGAGAACTGGGATGCCTTTCTATCTCTTCTTGTGTTAAACTGAGCAAATGGCTTTATTTGCATGCTAGCCTGTGTTGTCCCTGTTTCACTGAGCCCTGCACACGTAGGTAGTGAGAGGCAGTAGCTGTTCAGAAGCTAAATAGGACAGAGAGACCAAGCACAGTGTATTCTTATCCCATGAGAGAGCAGAGAGCGCTGACGTGAAAAGTGAGATCACTTAGTCACAAGGGAGAAAGCTTTTTATTCAGGTGCAGTGGCCTTTGTCTCATGTTATTCTCTGTGCCTCAAATCCCTCATCTCTCCTGATTTGATCATCTCCAGTCTAGGTGACCACATGTCTGCAGCAATCACAGGCAGCCAAGCCAAGGAAATCTGTTTAAGCTTAGAGTGTCTACCAAACAGCTCTCTCCTTGCAGCATGCATCTCTCACTCCTTAGTAGAACAAGATTGATAGCAAAAGACTAATATCAACAGCAGAGGTTCAATACAAGGTGAGATCAAGGGCATCGTATTTCAGTGCCTGTGGAACTTAATCTCAGTGTCTCGCCAGATACTGCCCCGTAGTCCATCCATACTAGTCTCCCTCTGCAGTGTGCATGGGGGAACCTGGATAGTTGGATTCAGGTGTGATGGTGTTATTGAGCAAGAGTTTCTCCTGCACAGACACAGGGAGAGGCTCTCTGCAGTGCACGTTGCCTAAATTTTTGGCTTGCCCAGACATATCAGACTATTCCCCTTTATTGCTGGGGTCTATGCTGAAACTGGGAAGTCTCTTGCATTTATAGTAGCAGCAGGTAAGATCTTTGTGTGTGTCTCACTCCCACCTGATATAAACCCTGTGATGATTTCACTGTTAGAACATGTTGAGAGAGGCCTGCCCTGGGTGTTTCAGGGACACTGAGAGAAGTGATGACAGTGCTGAGGATGGAAAGGGGCACTCGCTGTGCCTCACACTGTGACCTGCCAGCAGTGACTTCAGAGCTGAATCTGGGGAGACTGAGGTGATCCTGTCTTGAAATACCTTCCTTCCCAATGGTGCCTCTACCTTGACATGCTTTTATCTGGTCTCTAACCTCCTTTTTCAGGGTGACTGTGGGTTAAATAAGGAGGGCTCCGTGATGTGAAGCTTACTGTTTGAAATTGTCCCATGTCCTGAGAACAAGTTGAGCGTAGGAGTTTGCAGGCAAATCTATTCCCTTCTCAGAGTGTGGCGCAAAGATCCCTGAGGCGACAGAATCTCGAGATGGTGAGATCTTACAACCTGGCCCTGCACTGAGCCCATCCACTGATTTGGGCCTGCTTTCCTAACATACTGTGCTTGATTTAATCTCAACACTGTCTTGTTTGGAGTTGTGGGCTGAGCTCAGATCTGTCTGCTTGTCCTTGGCACCTCTTCTTCCAGCTGTGCCAGCCCTGGGGCTCAGTGTGCGTTATATTGGTGCAGGTGTTGAGGAGGAAAGAGCTTTGGCTGCAGGACAGCAGAGGCTGAAAGAAAATTCCTGGGGTGTCAAGATCAAGCTTAGCACTAGTGGACAAAGACTTATATTTTTTTTCCCACCCCTCTTTTGTCTGCTTCCCTCAGGGAGACCTCAAGTTGAAACCTTGAGGCTCCATATCTTGCCTTTTCCTCAAGCATGGCCACTTATTGATCCTGTGTGCAATTTCCTCTTGATGCAGAGTGCTCTGCAGTGCTGTTGGGGGGGTAACTTGTTTGCAAGGCTTCACCCCACCATGCCATGGCCAGCCTCACCACTGCTGCTTCCAAAGGGTAATGCAGTCTGTCCCCCCATCCAGAGTAGCACATCACTGTCATGAAAGGCAGCATGCCTGTTCCCCCTGTGGGAGGACTAGGCCTTGCTGGCTCAGTCAGCTGCAACCTAGGACTGCTGTCAGCCCTCAGTTTAATATCCAACACATCCTGTGTTCAGGGAGCCATATCTTATGCTTTATTGGAGGGAGCTGACTCAAACACGCTTCCTTTGTCTCTGCGTGCAGTGGTTTATTGAGCATATAAGTGCAGGACATTTTTCTTAATTGAATTTGCTGGGAACTCGTGTTTAGCTGATCTGGCTTTCACTCAGTGCCACTTGCAAGAATTCCCCATGGGAGCACAAGGGCGAGTGGAAAAAGCCATGCATTTTGGAAGCACATGCAGCCAGCCAGGTTTTGATTTCCCCAAGAGGTATGAGCTCACGTCTCCACATCTGCGGCCGTGCAGGCTGCCAGTCCAGCGGTTTTGCGAGGCTACTGCTTTGTGTGTGTTCCCCTCGCCCTGAGCTCTGGGTCTGGAAACAGTTTCCCGCGGTTGCAGCCGTCTGCTCCTTGGCTGCCAGCTGGGCGCTTCTGCCGGGCTCGTTCCCACATGATGGTAGCAGCTGACGTGTCACGAACCTCTCATTAGCTTCGTATCTGATTGTGGTGCAGGAAAGCATTTGTCAGTAAACCTGCTGGCTCAGATGCCATCCGGCCCTAACTAAAGGCTGTCCACGTGGTAGATGGTCCAACACTCTGTCTTTTCTCCTCTTGGGACAACAGAAACCCTTGGGTCCTGGGGAACGAGGTTTTTCCTTGCTCTTAGCAGTGTGTGGGCTAGCTGTTTGGCTCCACTCCACTCAGCAGTGGTTGTTCCTGATGGTATGTGCTGCTTTCCCCACCTGCCCTGTTTATACAGCGGGAGCCAAGCTTTGCCTTGGGGCAAAGCTCCCTTCATGCCGGGGAGGGACAGCCTTTTCTCACAGTGATGTATTAACTCTGGTCATGCAAAAGAGCTCAGTTCTTTCCTCTTTCGCTTCCCTGGTGTTACCCAGTGCTGACATCTGCTTCTGTCTATCTCATCCTCTTACAGTCTACCTGCCAAGCTGATCAATGGAGGGATAGCTGGGCTGATTGGGGTCACCTGTGTATTTCCCATTGACCTGGCAAAAACTCGCCTGCAGAACCAGCAGAATGGCCAGCGGATGTACACCAGCTTGTGAGTACCACCTGCATGGGCAACAACCCTTGGGGCTTTTGGCAGGGAATCCTTCCTCTTTGTTACCTCTTTCAGGTGAGTTGAGCATTTCTAGGAACTGGACTGTCCTCAGGAAAGCCAGGGAACAATCCTGAAGCAAGCTGTGCTTGAGGAGATAATCCAAATAGAGCAGCTATTGAGGCTGCTGAGCTGAGCAGATGAGATCCCTGCAGAGGGCACACCTGTTTGAATTCCTTGCTTGGGAGCAGAGTGTTCACTTCTGTCAGAGCTCAGGACCAAACCACAGGGAGTCCCGTTCGATTCTCTGCTGAGCCGCAGTCAGGCGCATGAGGGAATTTCTACCTGTCTTGTATTTCCATCACTCTGGTATTGGAGATCCTTCCTTTGCTGTGTCAGTTTTGAAAAGACAAAGCAGTCACCCATTCCCAGTCTAGACCGCTGTGTGCGGACCTTTTGAAGGATCACAGGTTGACACATGCTGTGGTTACCCCAGCAGTCCTGTGTCCAAAAAAAACCCAAGTGCTGCAGGCTGTAGGAAAAGGAAGGCATGAGTATATCCAGCCCACCGAATTCCCCTGGAGTTTGTGTTGGACTCATAGGGCTGTGTGTCTGCTGTGGGAATGCACACCACACAGCACAAGATGCTTCATCCTAGGAACCAGACACAGGCCTTAGTTTTCCAAAAGTACTGCTGTCATTGAGGGGGAAGAAGGGACTGGGATGGGACTGATGAGATCTGTCCTGTCTCCCTTCCACTTTGTTTAGAATTTGAGGCAGAGTGGGGATAGGAAGAAAATGCTCTGTATGTTGATGGTTTTAGTCTCTGTGCCTCCTTACTCTAACTGATGACATGTAATGATGCATGAGCTTAGGCTGTAGGCTCTGGTGCTTCCCTTGACAGTTCCCATGCTCTCTGCATTGTTTGTGTGCCCAGGCTTGTTGACAGGATGCAGCTTCCCATCTTGCCTTGCCTCTCCTTTTGGTTGTGTTCTGTTCCTGCTGCAGATTGCATCTCTCCCTGAGGATCACTTATCCCCCTGATCTTACAGGTGGCAGCAAGAGGAGTATGGACAGGATGGAGAACTTGTAGGCTCCCCTTGGGACTGCGTGCCAGGATGCCTTGTCCCTGGAGGGAAGCTCAGTAGGAGAGAGGCTTTTATTCTCCAGCAATTGAGCACAGATCTGCTCCATAGCAAGGAATTGCTGTGGGATGAGGCACTGTTAAGGAATACATAGGATTTACCCTGTATATTTGAGCTGGCTCCTTCTAAGAAGGGGAAAGGATGAGCTTTCCTAACAAAGGCTGCTCAGGTACAGGGGCTTATTTTTCTGAAAATACTGTGTACCCATCAATACCAGATCTCAAAGGTGTCTGCTGAACACCCAGGAAGGCAGCTAGTTCATTAAGAATTTTGCTGTCTTACTTTAAGATAGCATGCCTTGCTTCTGCTCAGCTCAGGAGACCTTTAGCATCAGGGGAACCTTTCACTTGAAAGAGCCAAAGACGCTTTGGAGCAGTTCTGAGGGCTGGAGATAGCTGGGATTTTGGGCTGTCCTGCCCCAGGTATGTTATGTATCATTTTAGTTGGCTATTGGCTCCCTTTTCCAGGAAGAGAAAAGAGCTGGGCATGGCCTTGGCTGCATCTTGTTCTGCTGCAGCTCGAGGGGCTGGAAGTGACATGCAAGCATGGTGAGGCAGCAGGGCTTCATGAGCGTGATGGGGAACAGCTCTTCCCAATCCCCTCCCAGCCGCAGCTTGTTCAAAGCAGCACCACTGGCTCAAGGAAAAATGCCTTGTCTCCAGCACTGCAGTGGAAGAACTTGATGGGAGGGATAAGAGAAAGGTGTACTGAGATTTCTGGGGCTTGCAAATGTGTTGAAGGAGCTACTCCAAAGAAGGAGATGGGTGTGTGCAAGCTGCAGGAGCTGGGGTGGAGTGTGTGAAAGATGGGATCCCAAAGGATGTGGAGAGTCCCAGCAGAGAGGGGCAACTCATTGCTGTGACTGGCAGCAATGCAGGATGGGCTCTTCACAAATAATATGGGGTACCCTAGAACAGTCTTGACCCAGGTAGGGACATAACACTCTCAAGGGAACTGTGTATTTCCTCCTTTTTCCACTCCTTGTGTTGCCAGATCTCTTAAAACAAATTCTTGTTTTCATCAGCCACACTTCCCTTATTACTGCTTAAAAGAGCCTTTTGGTTCTTAAATTATGTATGCATGCATGCATTTGTACCTCTCTCTTCCCCTGTGGCCATAGAAGTACCTGTCCCTTCCCAAACACCCTAAAGCCACCTTCAGCCAACATCCAGGCTTTGTGCATCTGTGGTTCGGAGAGGGAAACTCTGCCAGGGGATCTGTGCTGCCTTCTTGAACTGCGCCTTTGGATTTCCTAGGTGTGTGTCTGTGCCTTCAAAAGCCTTTGTGCCATTCCAGCACTCTGCATAGATTTCCCATTTGCAGTAAATATATTTGCAAGAAGGAAGGTGCCAGTTTTGCCCTTGGAGCATGGCACCCTGCCACACTCTTCCCAGGGCAAGAGCCTGAGTGCTGGCTGCCTGCTCTGGGACCTGATGTGTTAAAAGTAAATGCTTAAATCTGTGTGGGAGGCCACAGATGACTGAGTGCTCAGGTCATCTAGTGTTTGTGTGTGTGCCTTGTGTCAAATTTCATGGACTAAGTCAAACAAGCCAGCATGGAGGGTTTTGGCCCCCCTTATTTCCCTTCCAGAGCTGGATTTAAAAATGCATACATGGGGATCTGCTTGTTAGAGTATCTCATGCGCGTTTGCCACAGGGGACCCTGGATAAATAGCCCTTGCAGTGACACTCTTCCCTTTTGTGTTTCTAGAAAGCAGACAGCGTGTGCAGGGTGAGCCGGGGGTTTCAAAGCCCCTGTGAATTAGGGGTTGAAATTGGACTCAGGCCTCAACAATGGCACATTCAGAGGCTGACGCAGTTCCCGTCTCAGCTCAGGGTTTTGCTGACAGAATGCAAATGGAAACCACTCCAAGAAATTTGCTTTGTTTTTCTCTGTTCTCACCCACCTTTGAGCTCCTGTGGTTCATCTCTCTGTTTTGTTTGCAGGTCTGACTGCCTCATTAAAACAATTCGGTCGGAAGGCTACTTTGGCATGTACAGAGGTAAGTAAAGCTGAGTCAGGCACAGCAGAGCTTTTGCGTTGGAAGCACTGGTGCGTAAGTGGGAGGAAAAGCTCTGTTCTCTGGCATATAAAGCAATAACCTAGCAGTATCCTAAGAGGTTGAACATTGCAGCTGTTTCTGAAAATAAGCTACTCCGTGCAATTGTCTGCTCAGCCATCCATCATTGAGGGCTTGAGTCCTCCCCATGGTGTTAAACCTTACCATTTACTGATGGTCATCTGTACTAGCAGTTTAAGTGAAGCTGCTGGACTTCATTTCAGGACTCTATGTGTTTGTTTCCCGGCTTGGGCATGGTAACTTTTGCCAGAGGAGCAGTAGCAAATCAACTCTTGAAGTATCTTATTTTGCGGTTGATGATTGAGTTTATGTCAAAGCCCACCACCAACATGGTCAGGCCTGATGTCTCTCAAGCATGCTAAAGTGCTTTGTTCAAGTATTAAGACAAGTAGCTATTAAAACAAAAATAACCTGCCCCCAGAAAAGAACTCCCTTGAGGTGGTAAGAAAATCAGAGGTTGGCTCACAGTGGAGCTTCAGCTGTTTGGTCATTGTGTGTTGACTGTGGGGGGAAGTGGCAAGTCCACAAAGCCCCTGGAGAGACTGGAGCCCCTGGAGCTTGAGAAGTTTGAAATATTGGATAGTGTTAGGCCTTTCCCATGAGAACAGTGAGGCTAATTAAATGTTTGCATGGACACAGCCTTGAGTTTTAGGGAGTTAGCTAGAAAAGGATAACAGTGCAAGGACGAAGCTGTTGACTGTGTGCAGGTGTTAAATTCCTAAGTGTTTTTGCAAAAATATATTTACAGTATGTGTGTGGGAAAGTAGGGGCCAGCTAGCTCAATAAAACCTACCTGCTGCTCTGAGGCAGCAGACACCCCTTGTCTCATCTTTCTTCGTGTGTGTGTCTTCTTTCTTCACGGACCAAAACCTAACGGCAGATACCCCACGACAGTTGATCTGCTGGAAATTTCCTGTCTCCTTGACTTAGGCTGTCTGTTGCAGCAGTGAGTTCCTTGCTGATATTATACCTTTTATAGTTTAAACACAAAATCCATGGAAGTTTTTAAAGCTTTTGAGGAGATTTTGAGGAGAGCAGGCCAAATTCTGGCTTTTATTTGTAGCAGAGGAAAATATGGAGTACCTTCTTGACTCTCAGCACAATCCAACTGGCTTAGTTGGCACTGAGGTCTGGTTCATTTTATATACTGATAGTCAATTGCCTTCGTATGCAGTTTTTATCTGAGGTGCTCAGATAGCATTCTTTGTGGCACTCATTCACTGATAAAAGCTGATTAAAGTACTACTATAATTGAGTCTTTGCTCTTTGTCTTTCCAAGCGGAAGTCCGGAGGTGCTGGCGCCTTGCTGTTGGCATGTGTAGCGTCTCTTGCTGCTTCTTCTAAAGCTCCTAAGGAAACACAGACACTGTGGCTGGCCGACCCGGGAGCAGGCACTGGCTGCTCAGGCAGCATCTCTTGCCAAGCTTGCTGGTGGGCGTTTCAGGGGAGTGTGGTGGATGATGAGGATGGATTGGCTGCTTTGCCTGAGCTTTCCTGGGATCAGGCAACAAGACAAATAACCCTGAGGAACCCTGGCAAGCTCCATCTTCAGTGCTAGCAGTGACGCCTTCCCCTTTGACTTTTTCCAGAAGCTGGCTGCTTCTGTGTTCCTAGCCAGGAATGGAGCCTGCATGAACTTCGGCTGTAAATATGCAGTGGCAGGCTGCTTGGTGGGGAGCAGAAGGAAGAAGCTGTTCAGGTAAATCTACAGGAGAGACTGTAGGACCCATCAGGGCTTTTGGGAGAGACAGCTGAGTTCTGTAAGGCATAGGGTGGTGGAGGGGATGTGCATCACCAGGCCACTTGTCACTCCCAAGCAGAAATCTCAAAGGGTGCAGAGGGTTTAGTGTACCTCTTGCTTTTTCCAGCTATAACGAGTCTGGTCAGCTTGATCCATGTCCCTATGTCTGTTCCCTGGACTGGATAGTGGCTTGAATTTACTTTTCACCTCTGACTATTAAATGGGGAGCTGGTTGGAGAGGGCTTTTCTGAATGGCTCCTGTTCCTTCCAGAAATTCATAGTATTTTGGCCATGGTCAAGGTGTGAAGGTGAGTCCTGTGCCTCAGTTCTGTGAGCTGACATTAGCAGCCCTTCCCTCATTCTCAGGGAGAGGGTTGGTGGGTAAAATACATCCCAGATTTATGAAGAATGAGTGAGTGCTTTTCTGGAAAGAAGATAAAGAGATGTCTCAGCCTTGTGGACAGGGAAATATGGAAATCAGATGGTGGGATTGGTTCCTGCTCCCTCCATCTGTCCCAGTTCCCCAGCAGAATTTGCTGAATGACTCATGAGCTCTTATTTGTAGCCTTTAAGCTGAAATTGGGAGGATTATATGTTAATATGCTAAAGTGGCAGCTGCTGTTCCCCATGGAGAAGTCACAAGCACATCGGTTGTCCCTGTAGATCACTTGGCCTCAGTTGGAGGACAGAAGGGGTCTGTTTGGGTACAGCCATTCCCACTGTGTGACTTCAGGGCTCCTTCATATGCAATTCAAAACTCCACAGTGTGGACAGGAAAAAGGCTTGAGCTTGCAGGATGCTTTTCTGCAGAACACCCCTTGAGGGGTGTGTGTGGGCAGACAGTCCTTGCTTTGAATGAGTAGTCCATAGCAAACTGTGTGATGTACAAGACAATCCCAACATTTCTCTCAAGTTCTTGGATTTGTTTGGGGTAGGAAGAAGAGGTTTTTTCCCTTATGCTTTTTTCCCATAACATCTAGGTAGCAGCAGTGCCTTAAAGCTGAGTGGAGCTGTCTAGCCCTGTCTGTGCTCAGGGAATGACGGTGTGCTGCCTTCAGACATGATGCCGAGCGAATGAATCCATAGTGCCTGTGGGCTCCTGGACCCCATGGGCATCAGTGGAAGGGGACCTTGGAGAGATGCTCTCTCAGCTCCCTGCTATAGTCCATCCAGAAGCCATCTAAAAATCCCAGCACATGTCCCACTGGGTAATCCCACTGGTGTTTGAAGACCAACTGTTTAGCCTCGCTGGCAGGAGCTGAAGGCCTAGATCAGGCTGGGGAAGTGCCCTCTGCTGTCGATGACATTTGGAGGGTAGCTGCAGTTTAGCTGCAGTCGTGTGGCAGCCTTCCCTGGCCTCTGCTAATAATATCTCCCACGTGTCCCAGTGCTGCACTGGGGATGACTCAGTCCCCCTGTTATGTAGGTTGCTGGTGGTGTGTAAGGGCTTCTGTAGAAATGCGTTTTAATAACAAAACCCAAACTCAGTGAGAAGGCAGCACTTAGAAGTTCAGTTGGCAAACAACTGGGTTTGCCCCTAGTTGATTTCGTTGCCTATAGGCCAAGGTTGGCTTTAATTAGGGAAATACTCATTGGCGTGGGTATAATTGAAGAGCTTTGAGATTTTGTAAAAAGATAGAAAACGCTGTGGAAAGTATACAGCCAGCAGCTGAAGTATCTAATTTCTCCTCCTCAGTGAATTGAAGCTGTTTTGGATTATTGAGGACAGGGATTATGCATTCTCTGCTAAGCAGCTTAACTGAAAATATCAAAGATGTAGTAGAAAACCCAGGTTCATTAACTTTTTTTTCTGTATATTGCGTGTTTTTACCCTCTACTTTATTTGCAATTGAAGGAGAAATTTCTGTAAAAGCCTCCTGGTTCCTGGAGGAGGTCAACATGTGGAAGCATACTTCTTGAGTGCCTTTCTTGCTTGATGGTTTGGAGTTTTTCTTTCTTTCAGTGAACCCTTTGCACTGGTTTTAGAGTTGTTAGAGTAGATGGTTTATGCTTTTTCCTTTCTCTCCTTGTTTTTCCAAGGAAATAGTTGTTCATGCTGCATGTGTACAGGTGTTGTATTTTCTAGCCATTGAGAGTGGGGCTGAAGTTATCTCCAACTTGGCATTTGAGGAAACACTTCATGGGTAGCCACTTCCACTTAAAAATTAGGCTTTGTGGATTTGCTTTGTAGATCCCGATACGATTGACGTTAAACGATGGAGGTGGAGCATGAGGGTCATGTCTGTGAAGCTTCTTATCACATGCAAGAGCCATGGTGGGGGGGACATGATGATATAGGAAGAACATCGAGCTGAAGCAGTGCAATCACTGGTGCACTAAGAAGTTTGCAAAAACCCAGGAGTGTGAGAGTGCTGCCCTGCTCCCTGCTAGTTAATTTGTCTCGTGTAAAAGATAATGGCACTTGTTGGATGTCATGGCCAGTGTGGAATGAATGCATTGGCTTAGCTTGCTACAAGGTAGCGTTATGCTGTGTTTTCTGCAAAATCTGAACATGGGAGTTGAAAGGGGGAAGATGTGTTGGGCTGCCCAGCCCCGTGCAGCAAAATCTCTCTCTTTTTATGCTGCAATTTCCTGCATGGTGGAGATCTGTCTTCTGAGCAGAGGATGCAGAGCCAAGGATTCTTGTGTTCTGGTCGCGGTTGCAGTGGTCCCAGGAGTCTCAGTTGCGTTTTAGCTTCCTAATCTTAGGAAAGTCCCCCTAAACCTTTGTCTTTCCATTTTTGGAGAGAGGAGAGTCCATCCTGAGGAACCGATTAAGTTGCCTTTCTTCAGGTGTGTTGAGCCCTTACAGCTCTTGTCAACTTGTATTCAAAGGTCCTGAAAATGAACCACATTAGCTCTTTGGAACCTGATGGGATGCAGGACTCTCTGGCTGGTTTTCTTTGGAAAATGAATCTTTGGGACAAGTTGTTTAAATCTCAACTGCAAGCATAAATGCCTGTATTTGTGTTCATTCTTGCAAAGGTGTTCATAGGCCATTAGCAAGTCTCAACTGTAACTCCATCCAAGGGCTTGGAGCTTCGTATGCTTCAGTGCAGGCAGGGAGACCTTGAGGTTATCCACTGGAGGACTTTTTGAGCCGTAAGATTTAAATGGAGGAGAATATTCTGGAGTGCTAATGTAATAGTGCAAAACTCAGTATACTGGGAAGGGACTGGCCCTTCCCTCACCCCATTTTCCCCAGGGCAGCTTGGTAGCTGCCTCCCAGCCACTGTGTTGCACTAATGCCAGTGTTCATGGCCCAGAGCAGCCGGCCAGGCCACGCAGACATTTCATTGTGGCAGGCACAATACAGGGATTTGCTGTTTGTTGCTCCTGACAAAAGAGGTGGTTATGGGAGGGGCAGGAGGGGAGCCAAGGCTTGTTTACACCCCAAGTCCCCCAGCAAGCCTTGCCATGGAGGTCAAAGGGGAATTTCTGCAGGCTGCAGCTTGTGGTGGACAACAAGCCGCTTAAACGGTGGCTGTTCTGGGAGTGACACCAAGTGGTGATACACAAGGGAAGCCACTTTATTCTAAGGGTCTAGAGCTGGCTGACTTCAGTGCAGATGAACCGGATGACTTCAACCAGCTTCCAGGTCTTTCAGTGGCTCTGCCTTTTCTGGGCTGCCTGGTAAGCAAGCTGCTCTGGTATTTTCTGGGAAGGCAGGGAGCAGGGATACTAGTGAGAAGGGAGGGCAGGGAGGCTTTTGCCTCTCAGCATCACAAAATATTTGCGAAGGAATTGGGACAAGTTGTTAATCCAACTTGTACTCCTTCTTTGAAGGATTGATCTGCATCCTTCTGAATTTCTAGGAATGCACCCTTGGATGAGAGAAGAGGATGCATGTATGCATGGTGGGAGGTGGTAGTGAAGCTAAAGAAATTACAAAATACATATTGCAAATGGAGTAGAAATACATCTGGGGATATTTTCACAAAGCCAAGGTGTTGGGAGGCAGAAATCCTATTAATTTTCAGAGTTGTTTCTTATTTCTTAATCCATTTGGTGCACTGGGAGCTCTCTTTCATCTGTCATTGGATTTGAGCAGAAGTTACGACACATTCCTGAAAAACCCAGTTAACAATTCCTTTATTCTCATTCTCCAATGGCCTTTTTTTCTTGCTCAGGGGCTGCAGTGAACCTGACTCTGGTGACCCCAGAAAAGGCTATCAAACTGGCGGCCAATGACTTCTTCCGGCATCACCTCTCCAAAGACGGGTGAGTAGGGAGTTGACCTTTTGCGGTCAACTTAAAAGACACCGGCTCTTGGAACACGTCTGTTGAGAATCAGGGCAAAGGTGGAATGGGGTAGTGCAATGGCTGAAATATGAGTTGACCTTGAACAGCTCAGCTGGTGATTACCTTCAGGCTAAGGATGTAATGTCTAAAATGGGAAGCGTAAAGCACTCCACTGGATGACTGCTCTTTATTCAAGCTTCTAAAAATAGTCCAAGACTTAAGCCAAGGTTAGTAGATCCAGAATTTGTAGAGTAAATATTTGAGAGGAACCCAGTGGCACTGATCATTGCTCAAACAGCTGCTGGGAGGACCCTTGTCCTCAGCATCCTATTGGATGCTCTGATGCTCCTCCTTGCTCAAATAGATGGCAAGTCAAGTTCTGTAGACCCCAAAATTAGCCCCCTTTTTCTCCTTTTTTATCTTGAAAACAGTTTTAGAGAGGTGGTGAATCTGAATTGACAAAGGGCACTTGCAGCATTACCCAGCCACTGACCTGCATATAAATGCTGAAGGAATAAAATTATCTGTTCAGCTTGCAAGTGAAGGGTGGTTGATGTGAATTGAATATGAGTAAAAGATGCAAGCTGAGCAGTTGAGAGGGGCTGGGCCCTGAATATTTAATGCCATTTTCACCAAGATATTTCCCTTGCAATTTGGAGAACACTTGTATTTCCCTTCAGACAGAGACCTTTCTCCAGAGACAGAGAAGAACACTATCTCCAGTCCTCAAGTGACAGTAGCTGGAAAACAACCTGCTTGGGATATGATCCCAACTTTTCCCATTAGCAGTTATGGGGTGGAGCCTCACTGAAAATGCAAAACTGTGGCATGATTACTTGGCTTAACAACTTCCCAAAACATACCACATCAGTCTTGGCTGCTGCAGATCAGTGGCTCAACAGCTTCAGTGGAGATCGTGGACTGACACAGGTTGAAGATCTGTTTTTTTCATGTGCCTATTTTTTTTTGTTCTGGAGTCTTTTAAAGTATCAGCTAACATATGTCTGTGTGACTCATCGGCTCGCAGCTCTTTGTGATTTTCTGTCTCTTCAGATTTTCTGTCTCTTCTGTGCTGTGCTCAGACAGTGGGAGGTGATGATGTCCTCATGGCTCCTCACCCCTGCCAAGCGGTGGATCTGATCCGTGCAGCAGACAGCAGGGTGCACCTTGGTGTACTGCAGTAGACAGCAGCACAGCTCTACCACCACCTACCAAGAGGGGGCTTAGTGAGTTGTACGGGCAGGACAAGGGGTGCCAAGCTACCATGTCTTGTACTACCACTAAGAGAATGGCCCATGGAAGAAATCAGATTGGCATTGCAACATATTTGGCATTCTGTGAGAGCCATCACTGCTGTGATGTTTCAGCCATTAAAATGTGACATGCCTGTCAGTCGATGTCCTGCCCCGTGAGAGGTAAAGACTTCCTCAAAGTACAAGAGTGTGTGTGTGCCTCAGTGATGGGTCTAGCTTAGAGCAGGACTTTGGGTAAATGGGATGCAGCTGTTTCCACGAGCAGCTGAGGTCTTCACTCAGACCTCTTCCAGTTTCTCTTTTGGGTTCTTGACTGGTCCACACGTGATGTGGATGATGGGCTGCACTTGATTCAGAATAAAGGAGCTAGAGAGTTTTTCCAAGAGTAAGACACCCTGTTCTCCTAAATCATATGTACGGCTGGGACTGGTACTACCATGACCTGGGGCACTACTTGGGGAGTGGCGAGCCTTTTGTCTCAACACAGAGTGTTTTTACTTCCTTTAGAGAAAACAGAGGTTGGGCCACAGTTAGGGGACAAGAGCTAGGCAGCATGTGGAGTTGGGGTCACTCATTCAGCCACCACGGGGGGCTTGGATGAGTGAAAGCTGGTCAGCTCTGCTCATGAGGGTAGCCAGCTTGAGCTGGACAGAGAGGCAGAGCCTTGATACTGCTGTGGTAGATGGTTTAAGGTGTTTCTAACTAGAAATGTCACTCCAAGATGTGATGGGAAAGAAAATGCCTTGTAGTTTTTGTCTGTGGCTGGTATAGGCTATGAACATGGAAGTTCCAGTGCATTCTGTCATCTTTCTTAGTGCACAGGGGGTAGAGGGTGATGGATAAGGCCATGACATTACCAGTGATGCTGAGGGCCCTTAGAAACTGCAGAGCAGCTGCTTACCATGGGATCCCTTTCCTCTGTGTTAAGGAAATCCAAGGCCTGGGGATGGAGTATGTAACCTGCTGGAGGAGTTGTGCCTGGCCATGCTGCTGGCAGTGCATGTACCTTGCCTTTGGCAGTTCACGTGGTCTTTTCCCATATGTAGCACATGCAGCAAATAGGAGTGATTGCAAGGGGCTGTTTTATTGAGTCACAAAGCTATGTGACTCCAAGGGCTTGCCTTGCTCTTGCAAGCTGTTTGCAGTCTGCAGGTTTCTCCCTTTGGATGTTTCTGTCCTAAAGGATACTCTGGTGCTTTCTGACTCAAAGCTGCAAAAGTCTTCTAGATTTCTAATTTAATATTGAATGCTTTTGTTGCTAAGTATCTAGCACTTGTATTGCTTGAAGTATGTTGTGTGAGTTGGTGATCCTTTTCTAATAAAATGTGCATGTTCTATCAGTTAGTTGCTAATTAAAATATGTGCTATTGAAATATACCTCCATGTGCAAGTGGAAGAAGCATGTGTGGACCAGACACAGTGTGGCAAGTCCAGCATGACTCTAAGTAGTCTCAAGTTACAAAATGACTTCCAGTGTTTATGGATTTATTTATTTTTATCCTTTGAAAAACTTAGTGTTGAAATTGCTTTTAAACTGCTAGGATAAAAAAGTGGCATAAAGCCTATTTTTGAAAGGCCAGACTGAAAACAGCACCTGTGATGTAGGAAGCTCCTGGCTACAAATTGCTGGAAGAATATTTTGGGGATGTTGTTATTGCAGGTTTGTGCTAGACTCCCTTTTCCCTAGCTGTGTTCTTGGATGCTGCTGGACATAGAGTATTGGGACAGCAGATCCTCGTGTGGGACCTCCTGCCCTTGTTGGTGCATCTGTCTCCTTGTGTCTGGAGACATCTGTTCCTGCAGCTCTCTCCACCCTAGGACTAGCTCAGTGCTTTTCCCCTCCCTTTGGTGCAGAAAGGTTGTGTGCTCACAGGCTGAGAGACTTGTTTTCCCCTTCTTTGCCAGTTTCTATTTTGATGTCATTATGAGAACCTACAGCTACAGCTTCTTGTTTCATGAGGAAACAAAACCAAATTGGTCCTCCCAAGCTGTCCTGGTCATTTAGGAGCAAGGGAGGCCAGAGTGAGTTGTGTGGGTGCCTAGAACACACTTGCTATGCCAGGGAGGAAAGGAGGGAAACAAAGATACTGAAAAACCTGAAGGGCACCCCATAACCATGACTGAGAGAGGCAATAAGGGTCAAACATTTTTCTATGATAATTTTGACCTAAGATCCTCAACAGTCCCCAGGGGAAGAAGAAGAAAAGGTGACCCACAGGAGAGTCTTCAGGCAGGTCCTTGTGGCACTCTGTAGGGAAGAGTTCCCCTGTGGCTGGGGAAGGCAGGATGTGTGAGAGAGGGCAAACTTCTAGTCTTCAGGCTGCTGGAAACAGGTGGGATTTTTTTTTCCTGTGGCTCTCTGAAGCTGGATGTGTTGAGAGACTCATAGTCTCACAGCTACTGTTAAAATAGTAGTGGCTTCACTGTCTTGAGCACAGGACATGAAAAGAGGGCTAAGTGAAGCACTCGAGCGTGAAACTCTTGGGTATGAAGCTGAGGAAGCAATTTAGACTGGTAGTACACCAGCTTTTGAAGTACATCACTGATTTTTGGGTGGCCAGTGTGCGAGGCCTCTTTGACTGATGTAAGTAGTGCCTACGTTTTATGTCCTCTTTGAATCTGGGTGTTAAACACTTAATAAAAATCAGTCTCTTTAAAGTGTCCTACAAGGTTTCATGTTTATCTCCAAAGTGTTGAGTGCCAGACAGCTGTTTTGTTTGGCATGTGTTTGCCAAGTTTTGTTCATTTTTCAGGTTCTTGGTGAAATATTCTGACTTGGTTACAGTAAGAAGTATTTCATGCCTTCTTACATAAGCAATTTGTTGCTCATAAAAACTCTTTAGTGTCCCTGGATGAGTTTCCTGTTGCTCTTCTCCAAGATTCCCTTACTTCTCCTGTCCTCTTTAGTCTTGACCTTTATTTTGTTTGCAGTTCTGAAGCATAGGCTGGCAATCTGCTGTCTTAGCAGCTCGGATCCCTTGGAAGACCAGCACGACTGAGTTAATTCTGCCTTTGCTGATGCCAGCAAATTTTCTTCCTTTTTGCTTCCCCCTGCCTTGTGTCTTTGCTCAGGGATGAGAAATAGCCAACTGTAATTCTGAGATGAGCAAGGCACTTTTCCTTCAGTCCTATGCGGGTGTGGAGACCAAAGCTTGTTCTCCATTGCCTTCCCAGCTGATGTCTTCCCAGGACTCTTTCCTTCATCTGCTCTTCTTTCAGGGTCTTCTAAAATACTCAGACCATCTCTTCTGTGGCGCCTGTTTAAGTATCCATTGCATGACCTGGTTGATTCATGAGCTTAGAATGCTCACAGACAGGCTGTAAAGTGGGGCTCTTGATTTAGAAAGGAGGGATGCTGCTGCTAGTCCTCCTGCTGCTGAGCTGCTGAATCACCCTGCACACACTGTGCTTTGGTCTTTCTCTACCCTTGTGGGCCAAGGCAGCCTCTCCTGCAGTTATCCATTGGATGCTCAGACACTTCTTTAATGTAGGTAACCCTCATCCAACTCACTGAGACTTGTAGGTGAGGGAGAAAGAGACAGTTAAGAACTGATAATCTCCCTGTGCCTATTCAGGGATAGCTGTTTGGGGAGGGCTCTTTTATTTAGCATACAGAGACTTGGGGAATTACAGTGGGTTGAAGCTGTTGACATCAAAGGTCAGCCAAAAAGTAAATGCACTTTTAACTGTTAGTCTGGAGGGAACTAGACATGGGCTGTTTCATCACAGAATGCACCCAGGAGAGGAGCACTGCCCTTGTCACCATTCCAAGCACGTCTTGGGACAAAATGAGGGCTGTGTTCAACATGCCCAGTCGTGTTACCCTGTTCCATTGTTCACTTCCACAGACATTCATATTGGAAAAAACCACTTGGGATTTCCTGCCAGGGCAAACCTGATGCAGGCAGAGAGTCAGCCTTCTCTTGACTTAGTTCAAACACGCAACCCAGAGCTCCTGCACATATCTGGAATAATGACTACCAGAGCAACATTTTATCTGGCAATGCTACATCAGTGCTTCATTTTGCTTGTCTGAGGTATTTTTGAGCTGGCATTAGAAGTGAGAGGGAGCTTGTAATGGAAACTTCCTTGCTTTTACATTTCCCAGCATCATAGCTCCAGCTTTCTGAAGTGTGGTTGCAGTGGCTTGTTGTTCCCCCTTGGAAGATCAGGGGTGGGTTAAAGGGAATGACTGGTATTTTGTGAGCGTGTCCCCAAGGGGCTGTGGCAGATAGGGTGCCCTCCCTTTGAAGGATGACTCCTGTGTGTTGGTCCCCTAATCCATATGAAATACCCACTATTTAAATTGTTTGAAAGAAACTCTGTGTGGTTTGAAACTCTTTGGGAACATTCTACAGTCTGTTGGGCTGGCAGACCAGAAGCAGAAGTTATTTCATGAGTGAGGAAAGTGATTTCCAACCAGGGGACACTAACCTCTTGGGTAGGAAATGAAAATGGATGGCTTTGTACGGATGTTTCCTTAGGTCAGAGATTTTGTGTCCGGAAATCTTATCGTCCTGATTCCAGAATGACTCTTTTTGTTCCCTGCCCAAGCAGAGTAAACTCACATATGGTCAAGATTTTTCAGAAACTTGAAAAAAATACTACTCTGCTCCCATGTGACATCAATATACCAGTGCTGTCAGAGATCCTAACTTTGGACTGACGTGTTCCTCTGGAAAAGTCCTCCATAAACCTCTAGTTCCTGGTTTTGACTTTATTTTTCAGCTCTAGTTTGAAACTCTTAATTTGGATCAAGCATGAATCTCCTCCCCTTCCCATTTGTCATTGTTGATTTGTCACAAATTACTTGTATGTCAGTTAAAAAAGTGGAATGACTGATTTCTGCCAGTGCAGAATCTGGGGCTATTATGTGTATTTTATATTTAACACCCTCTTGCTGTGATAAAAGATGATTTCTGCATTTGTAGGACCGGATCTTTGCTGATGTTGTAACTTTTGAAGTTAGTCGAGATGTGCCAGTTTTTAAACCACTGAGGATAAGGCCTGTGGTGCCTTAAATATTTAACCCCCTTTTTTGTCTAGACATGAACCATTTTCAAACTCCTTTTATGTGCAGACTGGTGAGGTTTTGCAAAGGGAATTTGACCCCCTGTGTGGCAAATTTTAAACCTCCCGTCAAAAGATTTGCTTATCTTAGGCTATGTTTTTCTTGGACTCTCCCCAGTTCCCAGAATATGCCAACCAAAAGCTGAAAGGCATTGTTCTAGGTGCTTTTGATACACCTGTTTGACATCTCTAAAATAAACCCACATGTATAACCCTTCTCTGGGTCACATTGGCATAGCTCCATGGAGTTCAATCAAGTCAGACTGACTTTTCTTGGCTGGGATAATGGTCCACAGATGAACAAGCAGGCCAAGTCTTCCCAATCTTTTGAACTGGGTATCAAAGCAGTCACCCTGGATGAAAGCCAGAAGAAATGTACTCCAAGGATGCTCCAGGGCTCTTGCTAAAGTGGGAGATCCTCTGCTGTGCTGTAGAGGGAGACTGACAGCCAGCCCCTTTGAGTGGTTTGCTTCCTCCCATGGCCACGCTAGGGACTGTGCAGCCTTGCTGCCGACTGCATTGAGCCATGCAGAGACTGCTTCTGTGCTTCAGGCTGACCAAAAGGCACAAGTTGGCCACCTCCAGGTGTCAGTAGCAGTGGGGACCCCTGGATTGGCACACCCTGGTACCTCTGTGCCTCCAGGAAAGCTTGCTGTGCACACTTCAGCACCCATGTGGGTAACTCAGTGGGAGGGATTGTTCTTTGCAGCTTCTCATCTATGGGGAAATTTGGAAAGGAGAGACTGCGAAATATTTCTCCGTTCAGCCTCATAGGAGAGCTCTATATTTAGTTGCTGGTAATCTCTGTTGTGGCTCTGTGCCTCTAATCCCCTGCTCTGATATCCTCCCTGGAGAAGATGAGAGGTGGAGAAATTGGCCCAGCTGACGTGGTGGCCCAGCAGGATTACAGCACATCTGCCCTCGCTTTCCTGAAGGGTTGACACTGAAGCTGCTTTGCTGGCCCACTGCACCATGTTGTGCTCTGTGTGTGTGCATGTAAAACCCCTGGCACGGGAGTGTGCCTTGGTTTTGCAAGGGAATAGGGCATATCATTGTGGGACTGCTTTTGCCATTGTGTGGGGACTCTCCCTGGGCAGGTTGAGATGAGGTATTGGTGCAGGAGCAGGGCTGTGGGAGGCAAAAATAGTACTTGCATTTAAAACAGAAAAAAGATGAGGCTGTTTCCCTTTGGCTGTGTGATTTATATATGCCTCTTTTTTTCCCCTTTTTAGAGAAGAGAATGTCAGATGTACTTTTTAATCAAGTCAGTGTTTTCTGGTGCCAAGGCGTGAGGTTTTTTACAGGGCGAAAACACATCAGTTTCTGAAAATTGAGACTTCATGAGCTTTTGCATCCTGAGTTCCTCTTTTTAGTCTTAGCTGGGCTATTTTATGGCTTTGGAACACAGGGAACAATGAAATGCTGCATTTTGTTAGGCAAGAACATGCCACTGATAATAATCCCTGCTCTCTAGTGCAGAGGACGTACAAAGTTGCAGTGATGGGGGTCCATCCCACTCCTTGTCTCTCAGGAAGTTTAGTGCAAAGGCTACTTTTACAGTTTTGGAAAGGCTAGTGAGATGAAGCAGCTCATAACCACAGAGGAGCTGCCTCCCTGATTCATGTTTGCTGTTTATTTATTTTGCTTTTCTTGGAGAACTTGAAAGCAGTAAGTGTAATGTTTTCCCCCCTTTCTCCTTGCTCTGTGGTCTCTGTTTGTTGACAGTGTTTAAAGGACTAGGCTGGCAGAAGGAAAGCTGCTTATCAGCCTTAATGCTCGGGTCCTCTGGTGCCTCCTGAAGTTGATACCCTTTCTGAAAGCTGTGCCCCACCCAGGGGCAACATCGTGCTGTAAGGGAGCTGAAGCACTCTGTCTGTGGATGGAGAGGGTTGTGTGCTCCCATCTGGGGCTGTTCTGACTGGGCTTGTGGCTTTCTCTGAATGTTCTGTTTCTGGGACCAAAGGAGTCTATTCCCCAGGTCTGGTGATGCCAGCAGAGATGCCAAGCCTGGGCTGTGCTGAATTGTCAAGCCAAGCCCTGTCTCCTGGGCTGCCTTTCCTGTAACCTCCAGGGTCAGAGATGTGCCCTGAGCCTTGTACCAGCTGCCCCAGTGTTACTCCAGGCCACCTCCTCTGACCACTCTTTTCTTTGAGCAGGAAAAAACTGACACTGATGAAGGAGATGCTGGCGGGCTGCGGTGCAGGTACCTGCCAGGTGATTGTCACCACTCCCATGGAGATGCTCAAAATCCAGCTGCAGGATGCAGGACGTATTGGTATGTGGACTTTTCTTCCCTGTGCACTGAACAGGGAGGGGAGAAAGGGCTGGGACTGGGTTGTCAAGGTGGAGGTGAGAGAATGAGTGGAGAAAACCTTTTTCCTTCCCCCGGTCTCCCATGTCAGAGATATCTCAGACTGTAGCAGAAGTTTCTCCTCTTCTTCCCAGCTTCCTTCCCCCCCCCCCCCTCTCTCAGCTGGCTTTGCAGAGGCCCTTGCAGTTACAAAAGGTGATGGTTTTTTTGCTCAAAGCAATAGGCTTGGCAATTGAAACGGCAAATGCTGCTGGTGGATGGAGAGAGACAGGAGAGATGACTGGGTGGTCATCTTGTGAGTGATTGAAACTCGTTAGATAATGTGCAACCAAGAAGGGATTAGCATCTTCCAGTGCCTTTCCCTTGTGGTGCTTCCTCCATCTCCATGTTTTCTGATGTCTGTTCTTTCTCCCTTCTACCCCCCTGTAGCACCTCCCTAACAGCTTCCCAAGGGGATGTGCTCTTTCCAAATGACTTGTCTCCCCTTGTACTCTGTCTTCTTTTCTTCCTGACAAAAACAGCAGTTGTCTCGGTTGAAACAGTAAATAAAATTCTCCCACTGCACTGGATTTGAACGAGGTTGGGGGTCAGGCTCTCAGGACTGTGGGCAGGAGCTGGCAGACAGAGGCAGAAGGGAGTGTGAGCCTCTTGGCTGAAACAATGTGGAGTGTTTCTGGTGAGAATGCAGACCAATCTGGCACAGAGACTCTAGGGAAAAGAGTTGATTGCTTTTGCCTTAGTCTCTTCCAGAGGTCAGCCTGGGCGATGGCCTCACTCCCCAGGAGCCCTGCATGACACTGTTAGAATCCGTGTTTGTGGCTCTTCCTGGCAAATGGGCCAATTTGCCCTTTAATCTCTCATTGGATGTGGCGTTTCTGAATAATCGCGGATTTACTTTTTCTTTCCTCTCTTCACTGTTTTTAATGCAGACCTTATCCTCTTTGTGCGTATTATTTTAAAATGTTTGAAGGAATTAAGCCATGGTTTGAGGGTTCAGGAGAGGTTTTTGCTGCTGTGAACAGCCTGTTCTCTGTGTGGCAGGAGAGCTGTGGTGTCCCAGTGGCAGCCAGAGGATTGCCTGCAGGTTGATGTGTTCTCCATCTTCTGGCCAAAGGGTAGAATTGCATCAGTTGGGAAAGTGGGAGAAACCAAGGTTGTGTTTATAAATCTGGCTGAGAAACTCCCCGGGTTAATGATTGCTTTCAAGGGAAGGAGACAAAGAACAGAACTGTTGAACTACTGTCATTTATGAACATCTTTGCTTTGTCGTACAGGCAGCTCAGGGACACAGCTGGAAGCAGGGACTGGCACCTGCCTACGCATAGCAGCTCCTGTTCTCTACACTGCAGGGATTGTGTGTGACAGGCTGCTCCTGCTCAGGCAAACCATTTGGTGGGAAATGCAGTGAGCATCGCTGTGGTGTGGCAGCACCAGATGCCATACTGGGACAGGCTGAGGGAGATGGGCAGACTGGGAGCAAAAGCTTGCAGGGCACCTGGCTGGCCTTCTATGGCCTTCATGCATATTTTGTCGCACCTGGAGATCTGCCTCTTCCTCCTTGTCCTATGGCACCAGGCAGCAAGAGATGCTGCTGAGCGACTTGCAGACCTGTGGTTGTGCTCTTCTCCCCAGCGGCACAGAAGAAGCTGATGGCAGCACAGGCCCAACTCTCCTCTTCCCCTGCGGCGGGGGCGGCCGAGCCGGTGGTGGAGACGCGCACCACAGCGACACAGATAACGAGGGAGCTGCTGCGGAGCAAGGGCATCGCGGGACTCTACAAGGGCCTGGGAGCCACACTGCTAAGGTAGGGTGGACAAAACTATGGTCCTCCGCATGTGCTGGGGTCTTCAGTTTGAGTGCTGAAAAAAAGGGGGAGCCCATTGATTCTGCAGGGCTGCATGCCTCCCGTGGGCCTGTTGTCCTTTGTGCAGTCAGTTTTACCCCTCTGAGTTTCCCCTCCTGTCTGCGTTGCAGTCGCAGAGTTGGGATGTCTGCATTGCACTCAGGGCTGTGCTGCCAATGTGTGATGCTTGCAGCCCCTCCATTGCTCACTTTCTTGGTGTCCTTCTCTGAGTTGGCTCATCCTTGTACTTCTTTCTTCCCTTTTCTCCCACCCCACTGCAGGGATGTCCCATTCTCCATTGTTTACTTCCCGCTGTTTGCAAACCTGAACAAGCTGGGCCAGAAAGACCCCAATGTCAAGGCTCCATTCTACGTGTCCTTCCTCTCTGGATGTGTGGCTGGCAGTACGGCTGCAGTGGCTGTCAATCCTTGTGATGGTGAGTCCTGAGCAGCCTGTGGTGGTGGCCTGGTGCCAAGTGACAGGAGTAAGAGGCCCAGAGTGGACTAGGTGAGGAGGAGGGTGACTGCCAGCCTCTTCACTGTATGAGGGCACAGGGAGGCACAGGAGGGGACCTCTGCTGTCTGAGCTGCCACCAGCTCAAATGGTGTGACTTCAGCTGAGCTACACTTTTGGCCACAGCTTGCACAGTACTCAATAGGTAGGCCAGAAAGAGGGTGTCATTCATTTCAGTCGTTCTTCACAGGAATGGCTGCAGACAAGCCCCTGAAAAGCCACATTTCCATGTGGAGTGACCATATGCAGACCACTTACATACATATGGTCATGGAGAAACAGAGAAAGCCTCAAATCTATGGCCTTTTCTCCTGCCTCACAGCATCTGCCTTAAATACCACCTTGGTTTCTCTCCTGTGAAGAACACCAGGAAGTAACTCCTCTCTCTCCAACATTGCACACGCTCCAAGGTGTGAAAGAATGTAAAAACAGAATTGTATATTTTAGATACTTCTTCCAGAAGGAGCTGAGCATTTGAAAAGGAGTTCCCACTTTGCAGAAAGATATCTGAATTTGGAAGTGTTTAAAGCTTAAGTCAGCCTTTGAAGCCTGGATGACAGTGAGGGGAGAGGTTGGGTTTTGGGTGGCTGTGTGGGTTTTTTATCTGTTTATGAAGGGATGGGTTTTCCCCGTTCTTGCTGATAAATATACGAAAGTGTTCTGTGTTCCTGGTAATCTCATTTTGACAGTGTTTCAAAGACATTACTCTTGGGCTGGCCCTTGCCTGCTATGCTCCCAGTGCTCACCAGTGTCTCTTCTTTTCTCCAGTGATCAAAACGCGGCTGCAGTCCTTGCAGAGGGGAGTGAATGAGGACACCTACTCGGGAATCCTGGACTGCACCAAGTAAGACTCCTCGTGAAGGAGGGCACCACATCAGGTGTATGGCATCTGCTGCTGCCTGCTGCCAGGCAGGCAGTGCAGCTTTTAGATCCAACCAGCAGCTTCTGTTCCAGGTTCCCTCTGAAGCTGTGCTTTTATTAATCTATCTATCTCTGTGCATAGATAGATATATATCCATATATATATATAGTTATGTAAAAGAGAACTTCTCCCCATATTGAGCAAGATAAATATAGCATTTATATTTAAATACTTATGTCCAAACCCCCGTAGTCATAACAGTGAGATTTTATTTCTGCAAGGGAAGGCAATGCTGTGGTTGTCTCTCCCGAGGCCCCGCTGTGTGAGAATCCTACACTATTAAGTCTTGTATTCCTCCTGGGACTGCTCTGCACAGTGTCTGCAGGAGCACTGCCACAGTGGGCTGTCCCCAGCTGCATCCTGTGCTAAACTGTGGTCTGGCTGCTTCAAAACGTGAAAGGACTTTTTCTGCTTCTGTATTTCTGTCATGGCCAGAATCTCTTGCCATCTGGCCGTGTCCCATGCTGAGGGTGGAGCTGGCCCCGCTTTGGTACGGGGGGACCTCTTGATGTAAGCTTGGAGTGGGTCATCTTAGCTGTACTTCCAGACACAGGCAGATGCTCCTGCTCTGGGTCAGATGTAGGGATGGGGCATGTTTCTGCATGGCCATTTGCAGAGCATGTGGGGGATGATCTGCTGTGGGGGCGGTGCCAGGCGACAGCTCTTGCCTGGATTTAGCCTCTGGAGGGAGGCAGAAAGCCAGGGCATGGCCAGAAGCTCTCCTGGCATGGTGGAGGAGTGAGGTGGACACTTACCTGTCTCTGCTGTTTCTCCCCAGGAAGATCTGGCAGAAGGAAGGGCCCACAGCCTTCTTCAAAGGGGCATACTGCCGAGCCCTGGTCATTGCTCCTCTCTTCGGCATTGCACAAGTTGTCTACTTCATTGGCATCGCGGAGTTCCTGTTGGACATGCTCCCCAAGCCCCGGGCCTAGCCCTGGCATGCTGGTGTGCCCTCCCGCCCTCTGCAGCGCTGAATTCATCCCCGTGTTCACCATCCATGCCCATTGATGTCAGAGCAACAGCACAAAGGGTTCGCGCAGGGATGCCGAAGGGATGTGGTCTCCAGATGAGCAAACATGGGGAGGGAGAGAGTCCCTTCTCTGTCTTGGTCTGGAACCTGCTCCCTCCTGGTCCTTCCACGGACAATAGTTAATTATTCATATCTCTTTTTTTTTCTAATTTCCCTTTCTTTTTTTTTTAATTGTCATTCTTAAGGACACTGGTAAGCACAGACTGGGCTTGCAGACCCAGAAGTCTCCTCTCAGCCTTGGGGAGAAAGAGAGAGGGGAAAGAAATAACTTGAACCCTCATCCACCACAGATTCCCTCTTTCTTCCTGGAGCTGCCAGCTATCTGAGGAGGAGCTGGAGGGGCAGCTGTGTCCCCTCAGCACCTCCTTGGGTCAAGAGTGGGCACTGCACAAAGGGGGCTTATCTTATTGCTGCTGGAGGCACAGTGGGGGGGGTGCTGGATCTGGCAAGTTCCTTGGCCTGGAAACCTTCACTCCTCCCTTCTCCCTTTTTAAAAACGAGTTGGACTTAAATGAATGCTGATTGTTAATATTGATTTTGTAATTATTTTTGTTTTAAAGCAAAAGGGATATCCCTCCTAACTAGGTGTCACAGGCACATTCTGGTGAGGTGCAGAGATAGGATGTCTGCTCTGTAGGGAACATGTCTGTGGGATCACATGAATGTCCAAAGGTGCTTCCCTGCTTGGCTACAGGCAGGGAAGGGAGAGGAACTTGGGATCAAGTTATTTTCATTTGGGGGTGTTTTCTGGGTGGGTTTTTTGGGGGGGCGGGGTGTGTTTGGTTTTGGTTTTTTGGAGGGGGCTTTTATTTGTTTGTTCTTGGTTTGTTTGGGTTTTTTTTAATGTAGGGTTGTGGGGAGGGAATACCAAACAACAAGAAACCACTTACATTCCTTCAACCTGCCCACCCCCAGGGTGATAAAGTGGTGGCTGCAGGTGTAGAGTAGCTGATCTAATTTTTTTCCAGCCTGACCCCAGGTGTGGGAAGGGAGGCACCTACTCCATTTCTGTGGTGCCCAAACTCAGGGAGCCGCACTAGAAATGCTGCTCCTGTGTGCTCACCTTGCAAGGTGAAAACACAAAGCCTGGTTGTGTTTTGATGTTTAACTTGGGTGTGTTTGGAGTCAGCCAGTGTAGAGGAGGCAGAAGGTTCCTGCACCCTGATCCAGGAGCTGTTTGCAGGTGCATTACCTGCAGGGTGAGTCCTCTGCATCACAAAAATCTCGTCATGCCATTGGCTTCTGGGGTGGTGATCACTGTTGGGTGCCAGAGGCCAAATCCACACCTACAGCTCGCTCTGTCAAAGGGACACTGCCCCAGCTAATATCACTTGTCAGAGGACTTCCTCATTCAGTACTCTTTTGGGCTATGTAATTAATTCTAGTTTAAATGACCTTAAGTGTGAGACCTTCCAACCCAGTGTGATCTTCTCCGTTATTTATTCCATTTGGTGCAATCCACCCAACTTTGGTGTTGAAATTAAACTGGTTGAATTCACTTTTCATTCCTTCTTTTTGCTTTGTTCTCCAGGCGCTTGCTTGGTGTTTGTGTTTCAAATGTGTTTTAAATTAATTAAAAAAAAATCCCTGTTTTTAATGTTTAAAAGGAAACCACCTCTGTTTCAATGTTCTTGGGTTAGGTTTTTGTAAAACCTGTATGTTGAGGGCCTTCTTCCGTGATGAATCCTTTTTCTCTTCAAGAAAGTTGTTCTGTGGCTGATTTGTTACTTGTCACTATGCATATATGAATAATTTTCTTTATTTTTCTTAATGACTTCTCCATGTATCTGGGAAGGAATCTGTGCAAAGATGATGATAGTTGTCTGTTCTGTGTGTGGTGCTGTGATGCTGCTCTTGCTCTGGATTTTCCTTGGGTGGAATTAAAAGAGAAAGATTTATTTTATTTTTTTTTTAAGGTGCCCCATTCCTTGCTGCTTTGTGATTTACAAGGAGGGTCCTCAAAAGAGACTTTGCCAATAAAATTAGTGGGGTTTCAGCCTGCCCTCCTGCCTCCAAGGATTGTCCTCTGAAGCAGGGTGACTTGTGGCTGCAGGGGTGTATATGGGGTGCAGGTTTGGATTGTGGGGTTAAGTTTGGAGGAAAATTTGGTGCAGTGAAGGGGTGAGGTTCAGGGAAAGCTCTCCTTGTCCTTTGGGATGCTTTTGAAAACCTCTTTGTAAAACTGACTCTTCCTTCTCAAATCACCAGCTCTTCTTCCCCTATGTTGGAGCTAGTGACCCTAATGGGGCTGATTTTTAGCTTCTTGGACATGTCCCTGAGTCAGCAGGAACTGGGGAGGCAGCAGGGGGTAGTGACCGTGGCTGCACAGGAGCTCCCCAGGCGGGCAGGGTCCTGCTTGCAAAAAAAAATAGAGTTTAAAATGGGAGAATTCTCATCAACCTAATTAATCATCTATTAACTGAAACCTGCTGGTATTGATTGCAATAATGAGGAATAAAAGTAAATAAACACCCCTCGGCTCCCTTCCCTGCAGGTGCCACTTGTCCCTGGGGCAGCAGCTGTCAGCCAGCAAGGGGTCAACTCCTTGTGCGCCCTTGCTGGTCCCTCTGGCATCTCTCCACCCACCCCAGGCCCTTCCCAGTCATACCTTGTCCATGTCAGCCCTGTCCCTTGCTCCCACCCTGCCCCTGGCTGCCATGGCTCCTGTTTGTTTGGGTTTCATGGTGTTCACTGCCCTTAAATACATTTTGCTGGAGCTGCTGTACTTGAACCCTGTCTTGGGTTCAGGTGCGTGAGTCAGTTTTGGCTGGTGGAATTCCCTGGAACGCAACAAGGAAATTTCCTAAAACCCTGGGGAGACATTCCTACGAAGCAAATGGAAAATTCTGGCAACCGATAGGAGAATTCCTGGAAAGCAAAGGGAAACCATCCTAGAAAGTTAAATATTCTGGAAAACAAATGGGAAATTTTCTGCAAGACAATGTAGGAATTTTCTTGAGAGCAGTAGGGGGAAGTAGGAATTTGTAGAAAGCAATGGGGTGAACTTTCTATAGGGAGGATAGTGTAGAGAGGCAGGGAGAGAAATTCTAGAAAGCAAGGAGGAAATTTCCTCAAATACCTAGAAAATTTCTGAAAAGTAACTAATAATTCCTAGAGGGTAAATTTCTGAGAAAGTGAAGGAGAAATTGGTGGAAAGCAAAAGGGAAATTCCGGGGAGAGGAAGAATGATATTATTTCAGAAATAATTTCTTGCTTCCCAGGGAGTAAGTCTCGTGGGGGAATTTCCTAGGAAAGCACTGGAGATCCTGTAAGCAGAGGGGGAAATCCTGGAAAGCAATGGAGGACTCTAGAGAGCAACAAGGACATTTCCCAGGAAACAAGGAAGAAATAGCCTTCAAAGTGACTGGGAAATTTCATGGGAAACAGTGGGGGTTTTTTTAGGAAGGAAGCTGAAGATTTCCTGGAAAACAAAAGGCAGTGTTCTGGAAAAACATGTAGGAGTGCCTAGTAAGCAGCAGGGAGAAGTTCCTGGAAAGAAGAGGAAATTTCCTCAAAAACAGCACAGTGGGAAAAGAGGCAGCAGCAACTCCGTGTTTCAGCCCCAGTGACCCCCACTCTGATCCTTGGGTAATGAACTCGAAAAACATCTCAGGGGATTTGAGTGGTTTTTGCTGCTTCCCGCAGAGCTCCAGGGGGCTCAGGGGAGAGCCGGGAGGGCGCTGGGGCTGCCCCTGACCTGCCTCCTGTCATGGGTATGGATGAGCTGTTCCGCCTCTGCTTCAATGTCGAGCGTTGCCCTCCGGGCCTTGGCCTTTAATTGCGTTTTATTTCTTGACAGCCTTAGCTGCAGCCGAGGCAGCCCGGGAGAAGAAGGGTTAAAATAACGGGAAATCTCCCGGGGATTCCCAGCCCTGTGCCCAGGCGCGCCCCGGGAAGCCCCGGCGGGAGCGGGTGCGGCTGAGCCCCGGGGCTCTGTTTGCCCCGAGCTCACGTTTTAAGTCCGGTTTATTTATTTTAAATATGATTAGTTTGGGGAGGGGGTTGCGCGGGGCTGCGCAGCAGCATCTTCCGGGGCGGGGCCGGGCTGGAGCATCCCCCGGGCACCCCCGGGAGCGGCGGGACACACGCGCACACACCCCCACATACCCTCCTCCCTCGGGAGCGGCGGCACTTTCCTTTCGGAAGGGACACGTGATTTCCAGGAAAACGGAGTAGGCGGATAAAGGACCGGGCGGGACGCGGCGGCCCCCGCACCGAGGTCGCCGCCCGTCCCGTCGCAGCAGCTCGGCGGAGCCCGCACTATGGCAGCGCAGGAGAACGAGGGGTAAGCGGCGCCCCAGCACCCCCGGGCCGCCGTCCCCGGGTGGCTCTGATTCCCCCGGTGACGGCCCCCTGCCCGCAGGGAGGCCCAGAAGCTGCGTTTCGTCCCGTGGCTCCTGAACGCCATCAACAGCGGGAACTACCGCGGGCTGCGCTGGCTCGACCGCGAGCGCACCACCTTCCGCGTCCCCTGGAAGCACAACGCCAGGAAGGACATCACCAGCAGCGACCTGGAGGTCTTCAAGGTAGGTGGGGTTGAGGTCACCAGCAGGAACCTCACGGTCTTCAAGGTGAGCGGGATGGGGCTGATATGCAGTGCTCTTTCCAGGTCTTCAGGGTGGGAGGGTTGGAGTGACCACGCCTTCAAGGTGGGTGGGATAGGGTGGTGACCAGCAGCGAGTTGAGGTCTTCAAGGTGGGTGGGATGTGGGAACTGGGAAGGCAGGGGAAGACCAGTCATCCCTGAAACCTCCATGCTCATGGAGACAGAGGCCCCATGCTTACCTCCTTGCACCCACAGGCCTGGGCAAAGGTGGGTGGGAGGTATGAGGAGTCATCTGAGGACCCGGTCAAGTGGAAGACCAACTTCCGCTGTGCCCTGACCAGCACCGGCATGTTCAAACGGCTGAAGGACAATTCCAAGTGTGGCGAAGACCCACACATGGTCTTCACCATTAACCAAGGTGAGTCTGCCCCCAGAGGGGGCTCTGTTGGGTGGGGTGGGCGATCTCAGGACGCCCCATTCCTGATGATCTCCTTTCAGCCACCCTTAAGCACAGCACGGAGGGGGACTTCAGCAGCCCTGATCCTGCGTTGGACCAGCAGCCAGCACAACAGCAGCTGCAGGTAGCTGGGTGGGCACAGCAGGCTAGTGGGGTCCCCACTGCCACTGCTCAGGCATTGCACCTCTATGGCCTTGGGCTGCTCTCAAACTGCAGCCCAGCTTCTGGCCAAAATGCAGGTCATGGGGAGGCTGTGAGCTCCTCAACCACAGCAGAAAGGTCCCATCCTGCTTCCCTTCACAGGTGGAGCTTCACCCCCAAGACATTGCCCCAGAAATTGCTCTCCCAGGTAAATGTTAGTCCCACAATCATTTTTTTTTGGAGGGGGCACCCCGCTAGGCTCATTTGGGGCTGATTTTGCGGTTGTGAGACATCCCACCTGCTGTGCTCCCCCCTAGGCAGCACCGACCCCACACAGCCCGTGTCACTGGAGAAGCTGCTGCAGCTGTGTGACATCTCCCCCCGTGACGCTGTCTGCATGACCCCGTCCTGGGTGCCCGCAGGTGAGACCAGCCCTGCTCACAGGATGCAGAGCGGGTGGCTCCATGGGTGGGTGATGCCAGCACCTCCCCAAATTGGTGATTTCCCTGCAGGGGACACCCTCAACCCGGACATCCTGCTCCAGCCTCCCCAGGACAGCCTGCTCCAGCTTCGTGCCGACCCCAGCCAGAACAACTGCTTCCCTCTCCCGGCATTTCAGCAGTGGGTGCCCACAGTGGAGCAGCCCGCTTTGGGCACTTACAGCCCCCTGGACTTCATGCCACCAGAGGAGCCAGGTGGGTGCTGTGGGGCACGATCCAGCCCTGGGCATGGGAATGCCATAATGGGGTGGGAAGAGGCCAGGGTGCTGCCACTTGCACCCCATGTCAAAGCAACCCTCATCCCCCTGCATCCCGAATCCCCATGCCGATGCTGCTCATGTCCTGCTGCAGGAGCTGTGCCACTGCCATGTCACCTGACAGAGGGCGTGGTCCCCATGCAGGCACCAGGGGAGGCGATGTTTTTGGTCCCCACCGCCAGCCCTGTGCCACAGCCACAGCAGCTGGTGGGTGACACAGGTGAGGGTTATTAATTATTAGTAGTTAGAAATTATTATACTTATTAACAGTAAATAATGCCGGGGGGGTTCACTTTGGAGAGGGAGAACATTTCTGTTTGGAGGATGCGGCCGCTGATCACTGCCTGGTGCAGGTCCCTTCGTCTCTAACCTGGACGTCACCATCTACTACCGGGGAAAGGAGTTCCATCGGGAGATCGTGCAGGGCAGCCACTGCCTACTGACGTACCAGCCCCTCGGGGGCTCCCCAGCGGTGGCTCAGGGCCCCTGGCACGTGGTGCACTTCCCCAGCCCCGCCAACATGGCCGATAGAAAGCAGTGGCGTATCACCGAGGAGCTGCTGGGCAAGGTGGGGCTGCAGCTGGAGCAACGTGCCTACAAGGTCTTTGCCACCCGCCGGGAGAAGTGCAAGGTATTCTGGGCCCTGTCCCAACAGCTCGAAGGTGTCGAGGACCCCCCATTCAACCTTCTCTGCCGGGACCAGGAAACCCCTATTTTTGACTTCAGTGAGTTTAGCACAGGTGGGTAGGGGTGTCACATTGTTCCCCATGTGTTGTTTCATCTTCATCCTGGTTTTGGGGCTCACGGGAAACAGGATGTTACAAGCATCCAAATCTTCCCAGTCCTTCCATTCCCCAGGCTCACCCCAAAACTGATTCCTGTCTTCTCTTGCAGAGCTAAGGGACTTCCGCAACGGCCAAAGGCGGCGGTCCCCTGACTTCACCATCTACCTCTGCTTTGGTCAGGCCTTCTCCAAGGCCAAGCCTAAGGAGGCCAAGCTCATCCTGGTCAAGGTGAAGGAGCCAACAACCACTGCTGCCCAGGGAAGGGGAGAGACTCATGAGGGCCAGGGGAGCTGGGACTCTGGGTGCCTGAGGAGGGGGACCCTTGAGGTCTGTGGGAGAAGGAGGATCTGCGTGCCTGCGGAGGGACCCTTGGGGGCTGGGGCAAATGGGTTTCTGGGTGCTTATGGATGGGGACTCTTACATGATGGATGGGGGATGGAGGTTCCTCAGGGTCTGGGGAGGGGGACCCTCAGGGGCCTGGGGAGGTGAGTGCCTGGGTGCCCAAAGAGGGAGACCCTCTGTGGGCAGTGGAGATGGGGATCTGGGAGCCCTTGGCATTTGAGGCAGATGGATATCTCGATACTCCTTGTGGGGCTGAGAGAGATGGGGGAACTGAGTGACAGGGAAGGGGGACCCTTGGAGACTGGGGGGGCTGGGTGACCAGGGAGGGAACCCTTGTGGACCAGGGGAAACATGGGGCAGCGGTGGACCTGAGTCAGAAGACACTCGGGGTCTGGGCGGGATGCTGTGGAAGGCAGCCCAGGGATGGGAACCTTGGGGTGGGGGAGACAAAGGATGCCCCAGACACCTCCTCCCTCCGCTCCAGGAAGACAGGGCTATGCAGGGTGCTGCAGCCACATCAGGCTGTTGCAGCCACATCAGGCAGCTGCCCATAACCCTGACATTTTTCTTCTGCAGTTGGTGCCCAAGTTCTGCGAGTACTGCTATGAGATGGTGCTGCAGGAGGGAGCCTCATCCCTCGACAGCCACACCATCAGCCTGCAGCTCTCAGACTCCTTCAGTCTCTACGATCTCATTGAGCAGTACACCATGCAGCTGGACTGACCCCCAACCACCCCATGGTCCCTGGGACAGGCAGCAGGACCACTGGGCACTGTGCAAACCGGCACCCCCAGCTCAGGGACAGCTTCACTGACCAATCCCAGAACTCACATGTTTCTTTTCTCCTCGGTCAGCTGCTAACGTGTTTTTGTGGGTTGTGATCATTTACAGATTTATTTTCTTAATTTTTCCAAGTTTAAATATATGTACAGAAAAGTAGTTCCCTCTTGCTGGTGTTACCTGGATGTCTGCCCCTACTATAGGTCTGAAACACCTCCTGTACACCCCAAAACCACGAGGGTCTGGCCTTGTCTCAGCAAAGTCCCTGCTGGCAGCAGCGGGCTGATACCAGAGCCCTTGTCAGCACCTTCTTCCTCTAAACTTTTAGTGAGTGAGGTGACTTCCCACACATGAAGGGATGCATTTATTGATTCATTTATTTTCGTGCGTTAAGACTGCAAACATGACTTTGACTTGCAAGCAGAGAGTGTTGAGGACAGCTTGGCTTTGGCTAAACAGAAGTAATTCTTCAGCAAGTGCCTCCCCACTGGCTAGAATTATTCACTGGAGATGTTCTGGAAAAATAAGGCAGTAACTGCAACATGAAGCACTCAGACCTAAGCTCTGAGGCACAGAGGTGGTGCTATCTCAGGGAGGAGTGTGGAAAGCAGAGTGCTGCCTTAAGATGGGGTGTCCCCTCCCCAGGCCGCAAGGAACCACACCCCCCTCATTTCAGGAGCGAGGGGAGAGAACCAACCTGGCTATCACTGTTGGTCCCTGGGCAAGGGGAGGTGGCAGTGTCCTTACCTGCCTAGTGACCTGGATGCTGCTGGGCCCAAAGGTGGTGGTCCCATAGCTTGTCACGTAATAGTGAGCAGGAGGTTGTGCTGGGGGCTTCTCCAGCTGACTGGGCACTGTGGGAATAGGACACCCTCAGCACCTCAGCTCCATGAAACCGTCAGCCCTCTTTCCCCTGAGAGCTGTTGCAGCACAAACTTGGGACCTTTGGGCTCACCTTTGGGGAGAAGCAGCTCTGTGCCAAAACGGTGTCCACACGTCCCACACGTTTTAACATCTTCCCTTGTCCTGCGGAGGGAAAAGCCACAAAAAGAAGGAGCAGGAGCTGCCTCAGCAGTCCCCATGGAAGATGATGCCAAGACAATGGAAGAGGCTTGCTTTTCCCACCCTGACCTGAGGTCCCACCATTGGACCTGGGATACCTGCTGCCCTCCCAGGGGCCTGAGCACCTTCAGCTCTTCATGAAACGGGACATGTGGGCATATGTTCAGAGTGAATATTATGTGCCTAAGCCCAGAGTCTCAGCTTCTTCACCCTTCTTTCCATGATCGACTTTCCCACACCAGTAAGTGCTAACAACACGTGGGGCATGAGCTGCTGCCGTCAGGAAGAGGGCAAAGTAGTGCCCGTCGAGTTTCACGACTGATTTCATGTGGCCTCTAGCAGCTGACCAGCCCCACCAGCATTGCAGTAGCGGTCACCCAGGTCCTGCCCTTGGCTTGGAGTGGCACAGCGTGTACGTACATGGCACTTGTGCCATCCATGTCTGGCCAGATGAACTCCGCGGGACAGCCCACTGTTCGGCAGGGAGTCTTCACACACACGTGCAGCCCCGGCCACTCCTCAGCAAGCTTCTGGATGATGAGCACAACTGCCACGAGGAAGTCCCAGGCAAACTGAAAACCTTCCAGGCAAAAGGAGAATGTCTCACTTGCTTACAGTCCCCAACCCCAGGAGATGCTGTGGTGATGCACCCATCGCTTCCAGCCCGCCAGACCACAGCCAGAACAGTTGGACCAGCTCCATATCCCAAATTAACCAAGACTCACAGCCTTTATACAATAGCCTTCTAACGATATGTTAGAAGAGTTCCCCTACTCGGGTGGCCCTTTTGCTTGTCACTTGAAGACTCGGCCTGAGACTGTACTCTGCTGGGGCCTTTATGGGGAAGGATAACACATTTGCTCCATGAGAAGACTGAAAACTTGACTTTCCACTTCCATGTGATACTTTAGAGGAGTCCTCTAAAGAACTGGATGGAGAAAGGGGAAATTTTTAACTGAACTGCTGGTGGGTCCTGGCTGGACTAGGACATGTGGCAGAGGCTTCTTGGGACACTGCCCAGAGGGCTGGAGGTGGCAGAGGGGGAGCTAAGGAGAAACGTAGGGTTGGGAGTCATGAAATATGAATCAGGAATCTTACCTGTCCTTCCTGCTGGCTTTCTGCACCGGAGCTCCAGGTAGCTGTAGGCCCTCTGGTTATTCTCTTTGATCAGCAGAGGTTTGCCATTGCATACAAGCAGGCAGGTCACCTTGGCCACCCAGTGTGTGGAGTAGAAGGAGCAAGCTTTCACCAGGAACCTGTGAGGAGATTCCCCATGGCTTTCACCAGCCTCTTCCTAGCTTATCCCTTGCACCAGGAGAAAGCATGGCACCAGGTGAACTTGAAGATATGAACTCAATTTCAGTAAAAACAGAGGCAGACACCAAATGAGGACCCTCCCCTACCAAAAGCTCAAGCAGCAGTAGCAGCTTCTTAAGCCAAGAGATGATTCCAGAGTTGGTCATCTGTCCTGGTTTTGTCTGGGATGAAGTTAATTTTCTTTCTAGTAGCTGGTGCAGTGCTGTCCTTTGGATTTAGGATGAGAATGATGGGGATAACACACCAATGCTTTAGTTGCTGCTGAGCAGGGCTTGCAGCAAGTCAAGGACTTTCCAGGTTCTCATGCAGCCCTGCCAGCAAGGAGGCTGGGGGGTGCACAAGAAGCTGGGAGGGGGCACAGCCAGGACAGCTGACCCCAAATGTCCAAAGGGATATCCCATACCATATGGCATCATGCTCAGCATATAAATGTGGGGGAAAGCTGGCTGGGAAACCATTGCTTGGAATAGGCTGGGCATTTTTTGGTTGGTGCTGAGCAATTGTTTTTCCTTTGCATCACTTGTTCTTCTTGGGTTTTACTACTCTGTTTTTTGGTTTCCTTTTAATTACAATATTATTATAGTTATTACTGTTACTATTATAATTTTTTTTCAACTATTAAACTGTCTTTATCTCAACCCATGAGTTTTCTCACGTTTACTCCTCTGATTCTCTCCCCCATCCCACCAGGGGGAAGTGAGCGAGTGGCTCTGGGGTGCTTGGTTTCCAGTTGGGGTTAAACCACACCACCATCAGGTAAAACTCTGGAAACAAGTCCACAAGGCCAGGAGATGTTCCCAAAATTGGTACAGTCCCATGACATCTAGAAACTGGAACATCCTTAGGTGGGACTGGGAGACCTCTGAATACCTGGACAGGCACAGACTAGCCAAACACTACTCCAGATGAAGGATGAACCAGGAGCATGGCCCTTGCTCACATCCAGACAGTGAACATTGCAATGGTTCATCCAGGACTCCACATGTGCGTGGCAGAGCTGAGAAGCCACCCTGATACCTTGACTCCCAGCCTCATGGCTCAGCAGATACAAGTCTCAACAGCCAAGGGCTTGCTGACAGTCACACTGGCACTGCACCGAGCAAACCCCAAGTCACACAACCTAATCAAGGGCTGGAAACTGCTGCTTACCTCTGGAAGAAGCTCTCAGGTATTTCAGGTGAGAAGTAGGCACGGATGTGGAGGTCCTCGGGGTGATCTCCTCCCCACACCTCAGAGACTTCTTCTGTTTGGTTCAGATAGGTTGGGAACAAGTACCAGGACTCGCCTTGGCTCCGTGTTGTCTCCCATGGCTTCCCAGGCACAAACTCACTGGCCTGTGGGTTGAGTGCTTCCATATGCCTCACCTCCAGGCAGAGCTCAAAGTGCTCCAGAAGGCTGAAGAGCTTCCCTCTCCCTCTCTGAGGCCCGTTTCCCATGATTTCCTCAAAGACATCCCACATCCCTTCCGAACAGAGCTGGTGCTTCACCAAAGCACGCACAGCCTGGTGGCACAGCATTGCCTTTGACTTGAAGGTCCACACCCAGTTGGCCCTGTCTCTGATGGTGGCGTGTTCCCCAATCAGTGTCTCCACAGAGATGCTCTCGAGCTGCTGGACCAGGCGATACCTCACAAGGAGCTGGATGGGAAGAGAAGAAGTGACGAGGTGGCAGTGAGAGCAGCCCGGCAAAGCTGCAGAGCTTGAGCCCTGCAGAGTAGATGGTCCTGATGCCCATGCTCACCTTGAACATGGTTATTAGGAAGGTAGGCTGGAGAAAAACGGTGCTTTCCAGTTGCTTGATTTCCTCGTACCACACGACAAGCCCGATGCGGTGGAGGTACCGCAATATGTCCTGGAGAAGCTCTCTGCCCAGGTTGGCCAGGTGCTTGTGCTGGGAGAGTTTGCTGAGCAGGTACTGGAGGTCCATCATGCCTAGAGAGAGATGCAGGAGTTCAGCATGCATCTATTGGACACAGCATTCCAAAGCAGATGCTTTAGAGAGCCAACAAACGCCAGCAGCACCCCATATCACCCATGCCATTCCTGAGGAAGCAGCTGGGATTGGAGCAATGCTCAGTGGCTGTGGCCCAAAATGCTTTGCCTATCCTCAGCTGTCCCACTGTCACCCTGCAGCTACCATGGTCTTGCCTTGACTCAGCGGTGGCAACAGCCAGGATTTACTGGCACATCTGAAAAATGAGGCTAATACTGATTTCTGTCATTGTTTGAGAAAGCAGGTTTGTTTCCAGCCAGAAAACCTCAGACTGCCAGTTAAACCTCAGATTGTCATCCAGTCATGCAGAGACAGGCAACAAAACCTGGCAAAACCAAAAGAAAAGCATTTGCTCCTCATTCTCTAATCCTACAATGGCCAGGGGAGTCAGAGGTGACACAGGGTGCTGGTGCTGTTTATACCTGCTTTAGGTACATAAGCAAGGAGCTGGGACTGCCTGCTAGTCCTGCTAAGTGACAAAAGACAGAGAAGCATCTAAGGAGGGGCAGGGGCCATTAAATAAAGTTAGCAGGATGTAGATTTGGAAACTACATAGAAACATTAAAGCTATGGAGTTCCTTCCTGCAAGATTTTTTAATTGCTTATACAGTGAAAAGGGGAGAAAGAACAACATTACTGGAAAGACACAAACTGGACAACACGGCCAGCTAGCAGAGCCTCCTGGTGAAGACACAGTTGGCTTTCTCCTATGCTTTTCCCTAGGCACCTGCCTGGGGTGAGGGGGGTGGGGCAGATGCTTGTAATGACAGAGCTGGGCAGCAGCAACTAATGCTCAGCAGTAACACTGCAAGGTCTTCTGCAGCGGTCCCACTGCCACACAAGCAGGGCCAGAAGGTGCAGCAAGCACCAGACACCCCATTCCAGATTCAGGAAAGCTCTGGAGAGAGCCTGTCTCAGGCACAGGACAGCAGGTCCTCCCAGGAAGACGTGGCACTCACCATGATCTGCCATCTCCTCGCTCTGTGCGATATCCACAATGGCAGCTTCCACCTGCCTGTAAACAGGTGGCAGCACTCGGACCACCTCGGGGAAGAGCTCCTTGTTCTTCACGTGCTCCAAAATAGTGGCCTCGAGCTTTTTGATATCACAGTGATCCGTGCAGTTGACAGCAACTAAGCTTAAGATCTGGAAAAGAGAAAGCACATACCTGCCAAAAGCACATCCAGAGGAGTCTTTTAGCTTGTGAGGTAAAGGAAGGACCAAATGCCAAGGAGGTCACACCTTTGTTCTGCAGCAGTTCCTGGAAAATCACCTGGTGATGGTAAATGACCCCTCACACTCCTCCTCAGGCATTTGCTACAAGCCACAGGAGGAGATGCCCATCACCTAGCAGGGACAAGGACCCAGCAGGTCACAGCCAGGGGTTACCACATCCACCCCAGCCCGGGGAGCAGCTGCAGTAGGGGCTTGATGCATTAGCACCAGGTCACTATTGCCAGTAGCACACTGGGCTGCCAGAGACAACAGGTGACCACAGACAGCCAGAAACCAGGATAATCTCAGCCCTACGGTTAATGTGCAGCTCTCCATCTCTTTCAGCCTCTCCCACTGGTCTACGTAAAGCTTGGGCTCCTCGCTGCCCTCCAGGTTGTTGATGCAGTGAGTGAGGTTGCTTTTTCTCTCTGCCAGCATGGCTGTGATCTTGGCCATGATGTCCTGCCTCTTCTCCTCAATCTCCTCCTCCTGGCAGCAGTCCACATGGGTTCCCACAGGAAGCACCACTGAGTTTGGGACTCGCATGGACAGGTTGTTGATCCAGAAACCAACGAGCTCCTTGAAAGTGTTGTCATTAGTTTGGTACCTGGAGAGGGAGAGAAAGAAAATCACAAATTCACATCTCACTCTCTGGATCTCCAGACAACTTCCACCAGTGCAGGTCTGACCATGCACCCTGTGCTGTCCCAGGAGTTCACCAGAGAAGAGATCAGACTTCAGAAGCTGACATGGGCTGTATCCAAGCTCATCCTTCAGTTTTCCATCCTTAAGCTAAGCCAGTTAAAGCTAGGGGGTGTAGAGTCCACCCCTGCTGTGCATGAGAAATTTTTGTGCTATACAGGGACAAAACCCAAGCAGTGATGCTTCCTTCACATTCAGGGAACACTGTAGGATATAGAGGCATCGTAAAGGTATTTCCAAGGCAGAGAGCAAATTCATATAGACAGGGTTCAATTGTCACAGAGGAAGCTAGTGCTTATTCAATCCCTCTAAACAGAGGCTTTTGGTAAGGCGATGACAAACCTAGTGGCTTAATTAAAAGACTGATCTGCAAAAAGGGGGAGGGAGGAGAACTAGCTACTCCAATGGTGAGAAGACCAGGCCTCAAGGTCCAATGGAAATGGTGTGAATTTGTGCAGGGGAAAGTTTCCCTAGTTCCTTTTTTTCTCCCCTGCCTCACCTGGAATCCAAACCAGTTGAGCACTTACATGTGAAGATTAATGACGAGGATGACGAGCGCCTGTGGGGTGATGAACACGTGGTGAGTCATGTAGTACTCTAGCTGGCCAGCAAAGTCCCAGAAGAGAAATGTGAAGTCCTCGATCTGGAACTCACTGATCTCTATCCCAACTGTTCGCTCTTCCTTGGGCACCAGTTTGGATTGCCCTTGCTTCAGGCTTTTGCAGATGGTGGACTTCCCCGCCAGTGAAGCCCCCAGGAACATGGTCTTGACCCTTTTGTCCTCCTGCCCCAAACCGTGTTGAAGCTGGATGAAGTAATTCCGTATCTGCTGAATGCCACCAGCGCACACTTCACTGGGTGGCTCCCGGAGGGGGTTCCCATTGGCCTTAAACATTTTCAGGGATTGCCTCTGAAAGAGCTCCTTGGGGAGCTGGCGAAGGGCATTATTCTGCACATGGAGCTCCTGTAAATGTGCCAACTGCAGGACAGGTGGTGGGAAGGTCCGGAAAAGGTTGTTGGAGATGTTGAGGTATTGGAGGCTGCCTTGACAAGCTGCCAGGTCCCTGGGGAGGGCACAGAGACGGTTGTTGTTCAGCCGCAAGTGTTTAAGCCTGGGGAGATGGGAGAAAATCCCCTCTGGGATGACCCTGATTTGGTTCTGATTCAGCTCAAGCCTCTCTAAACAGACGAGGCTCTGGATTTCATTGGGAAAGTCCACAATCTCATTTTTGGACAGTATCAGCTTCTTCAGATTGCAAAGCTTAGAAATGCCGGTGACTGTCCTGAGCTTGTTCCTGTCGACGTCAAGGCTCTCCAACACGGGGTTGCTCAGGACTGCGGGAGGCAGCACGCGCAGCCTCTGGGTGGAGAGAGACACTTCACGCAACCCATCCTCCTGCTCCTGACCTGGACACAGGGGACAGGGAAGGTGGTTAAGAGACACTTTGACCCTTTGGATTGCAGACCACTTTTTCCCTTGAGCTCTGCACAACTTTGGGATCATTTTAGCCAGCAAGGAAAAGCAGCGGAGCTGGTTGAACAGTGCAAGCACAGTTGCTGCATGAACAGCTCCTGAAGAGAGAACTGCAGCAGAGGTACAAGGATCTTGGCTAGGGCTAAGACACAGCAAGAAAGTTCCCATCAGATGTTGACCTGTACACCAAGCATCACCTTAACAAATCTGCTCT